CGTATAGCTCCAGATACCAAGAATAACGGAAGCATCCATAATACCGTTATTGATTCTAAATATTTTCTTGCAGACTTTTGGTACATTCGTATTCTAAACAGCCATAGCGAGAAACGTTTTTCGTCATTTTGGACAAGTAAGCAAATACAGAATAATCGCCAACTCGGAAGTACCGAACAAAGTTTTTTGACAAATAAGATACTATAGAATCTGCGCATACACAGACATATTCATTTAATGCGGAACTACGATGCTTCAGTGTTGTAAACAGCTAAGGCGAGAAAAAGTTTTAGGAAGTTGACTATATAGAGTTTGTAGAAACTTACTGCATCTCATGTTCAAGAGTTCGTGGGTTCAATCCTCGCCGCCCGAAAACTCCCCGTGTAGAAATGGTGACTGATGCACGCTAAATCTGTCGAGTCGCAAAGCCCTCCATGTTCCCATAGCAAATCAATACCTCTGGGGATACTGATCCAGGAGTTTCCTTGTCTTCTGGATTGGTTCAAAACTACGAGGCTACGGAGTTGAACATTAGTTGTCGTAAACCCAAAATTCGGTCTGCTGTTCAACGTCGGATATAAATATAAATGGGGTGCACCTCTTATTTTTGGGATTTTTTTATGTTCTTGCAGGAAACAAGAAAATGATTTAAAACTGCAATTTTCTAATAATAAGAAAATTCGATAAAAATAGTTGTAAATGGGAAATTTTATGTACATTAAAAGCTCTAAATTACAGTGCTCATTCCAAGCATTACCCATTTCAACACTCTAGCCAGGAATATTATTAAACAGCATTTTCAAGGAGCAGTATCACTAAACATTTTATTGCGCTTTATATCAAGGCAGTTTCATTTGTCACACAGAGCACTTATTTTTTTCTTCGTGGTACTAACGATATAGCTACACTTGTTGCATGGCATTATTGAATCTGCCTTTTTTTAATCAACAGATTCGAGCTTTTGGTGAGGTAATAACGATATAGACCCAATGGTTTTTATATACTCTAATATTTATAAACCTCTCGAGGGCTGCATTAACTTTTTGATTCTTGGTGATAAACTTGTAAATTAACAAGCACTAAGAAAAATTCTATGATGCTTATTGCCACTCATTGGAATTCACTGATTCAATTTCCAAACTATTGGCATAACATTTAAATCTAATCACTTTTCTCGGTTATCATTGCAATTTCATTTACAATTTTCAATTAAAAAAAAAATTTATTTGAATTTTGGTTGCTGCAAAAAGTTAAGAGATCATTGAAGGCTATTTGATAAAAAAGATTTCGTAATTGTGGGAAAAGATACTTCCTAATATTGTTTTAGAATTCTTGAACTTGAACTGTATGTATTAAGTGGACACAGTTTAACAAACAAAGGGGAAAAAATTACGAAAGTTATTATTTACTGTTTAAAAACAGATTACTATTGAAAAGATACTATTAAGATAAAAGATACTATTTGAAAAAAGAAAGATAAAAGATACTATTTGAAAAAAGAAAGAAAAAAGATTAATATGTTAAGATACCAATTGAAAAATGTTTAACATAAAATGCGGAATCAAGTAATATTATAGGATTGTCTATATAATAAAGAAACACCGTTTTCATTCGTAAGCTTTTCAATTGGGAGAATTAAACAAAATCAAAAATGTAATAATTAAAAAAAATATTGAAATATAACTAAAAAAAAATGGGTAACTAAAAAAGGGATGATGAATAAATATTGCAGAGTAACTTTTAATAGTGAAATGCAATTTTATGAAACCCGCACTATTTCTAGACTGGTCCTTTAATTGCAGTTTTACTCATTACGGAAGTGGATCTGCAATTTCTTTGGTAGGCGGAGTATTCATTCTTTTAAGCTGTCTGGATAGGTTTTTATTCATTCATTTATTTACTTCTTAAATAGAAGTGGCTACGGATGGAAATGGAAAATAATCTATCGCGATATCGATAGATACGATTCAAACGATAGATAGGATTCAAACGATAGACTCGGTAAAATATCATTTCATAGAATCCCGTGCTCTTAGCTCTTAACTTTTAACTAAAATATTATTGTAGAGAATATAGAACAATAGATTTAGTTTATTTACAAATCAATGGAGAATTTATTTACTTCTTAAATAGAAGTGGCTACGAATGGAAGAGGAAAATAATCTATTGCGATAACAATAGATAGGATTCAAACGATAGATAAGATTCAAACGATAGATTCGGAAAAATGTCATTCATTGCATGGAATCCCGTGCTCTTAGCTCTTAACTTTGAAATAAAATATTACTGGAGAGAATATAGAACAATAGATTTAATTTATTTACAAATCAATGGAGAATTTATTTACTTCTTAAATAGAAGTGGCTACGAATGGAAGTGGAAAATAATCTATTGCGATAACAATAGATAGGATTCAAACGATAGATAAGATTCAAACGATAGATTCGGAAAAATGTTATTGCATAGAATCCTGTGCTCTAAGCTCTTAACTTTAAAATAAAATATTATTGTAGAGAATATAGGACAATGGATTTAAGGAGCAATTTCTTTTTTTACATTTATCAAAAGACTTGGTTATTATTACTGATAACCGTATGAACTAGGAAAATAATCCGGCTGAAATGTATGAGGCCTTGCCCGGCATTCACTTGTCTTTTACTACCTAAATTGTTTTTTTTATTTTTTATTTTTTTATGGTAAATATCCAAAAGTCAGTATCCTCTACATTTTTGCTGTTTTGTAGGTAAAGAGACCTTGTTCGGTATTCCTTTCATTGAAAGTTTTATTAAATTTAGTTTAGGCGTAAAATTCGTAGCTGCCTCCGGCCGAAAAAAACTGTTTCTAAATCCAGAGAACAAAAATAAATTTTGTCTGTTGTGCCTACCTAGAGGAAAAAGCAGGCATGTTAAAATCCTAGAATAACCCACCTCTTGGCGACGTTTTGAAATCTCGCAAAATTTTCGATTATTATTGGGATCAATGTTGCTTTTTGATTATTAAAAAAAAATATTTAAATTATTACATTATTACTCGTTCATTCACTCGTCATTTTCAACTGGTACCGCACAAAAAAAATAAAAAATGAAATAATAACGGTAATAAATGAAATAATGGTTAAAAAATGAAATTATAACGTTGATTCTAACAGCTAGAGATCAGAAGCATAAATGGCAAAATAAATAAACCCTTTTACCTCTTTTCGAACGAAATCCAACTTTCGCGTTGGCATACATATCAAATAACCATTCAGGTTTAAGAATTTTTGGTGGTGTGATCAGACGTTCAAAATAATCTTCCTGAAATATGCTCCAGAAACCAAGTGTGGCGAAATTTCAAAAACTTGCTTGGCGAGATTTTAAAAAAAATCGCCACGAGGTGGGCTTTGGCTATTCTAAGATCAAACGCAGAATGAATTCCCTACTTTTCATTACCATCTACAAAATAAATTAAATATCCATTCCCACAAGAAAGAAGGGAGCTAAGAATTGAAAGGTGATTGTCTGCTCTCGGAATAATGCTAAAAAAATAATAATTCATAAATTTTATGTTGATAATAACCAAAGAAATCTGATTTTTCAGGCGAGAAAATTGAATCATACCATATACATTTTTGGCCATTAAGAATACGCAAGATATCGAAAACGGCTTTATGCTGTTTTTTTATACTTAAAAAAAAATTGATGAAACAAAATAATAAGTAGTTGACACTTAGTTAATGTTTTTTTCTTTTGCCTCATTATGTAAGTTAAATAAATTTTAAAATGAAAGTAAATCATTTTCAAAATTTAGATTTCTAATTCATTTGTATTTCTTCTTTTTTTTAAAAAAAACATCTTAATTTCGTGAAATATTTGCATATATTTTACATTTTTTCCTTGACATTTGTAATATTTTTGAAAAGAGTAAGTAAAAGAAATATTTGATGTTAGAAAAATAGAACAGTTCAAAATAACACTAGACGAATATGTTTTTCGTCTGAATCGCTTAAGGAAGTAAAATAACAAAATGTCAGACTGGCATTAAACCGGAAACGTTTATTTCAATAAACGATAAATAATAGTAGGAACTGTAACCGCAAATGTAACTCGGAAATTTTTTTGTTCGGAATTAAAAATAATTCATATCTTGTAAAAACTATTTTTAGTTTGACCTTGAAAGCAAAGTGAGTTCATGGTACAACATTGAGTAAAGATTTCGTTAAAAGAGATGAACTGATTAGATTACAAATTATCTTTGAGTGATAATTGGTTCTATAGATTGCAGAAATTCTTGTTATTATTTTTTTCTGGAACAATGAACAATTACTGATATAATTTTGTTTTCATTTTTCTCGTCTATTATCGAACTAATTAAAGGTATTCATTTAAGAAAATCGCATGTCATGTGGCTTTTCTTTCGTTAACACTAATAAATAATTTCAGTGAAAAAAATATTAATTTATGAGCCACTCATTATGTGATTATAATCAAAGTTTTTTCAGAGTGTTTAAAAATTACAAACCTTTAATATATATTTTTAGAATCGTGTCAAAAATCAAGTCAAAAAAGTTTATACAGTTGAGGGCACAAATGCGAGGAAAAGCATATTTGCGCCCTCAAACACGTTTTTCTTCCTATTAGAAGTACAATATTTTATTAGGTGTACAATTAGCTATGTACCTATTAGATGTACAATGCAAAATATAAATTTTTTTTAATGAGTGATGAAATTTAGTAAATGCCATAAAATTTGGTAATATATCATGATACCTTAGAGCATGGCATAAAAACATTAATTTGCTTAAATTTACTTTTCAGTTTCGTATTTTTTACGAAGTGTGTTGTAGGAACTATAATTTTAAAAACCAGAATTTTCGGTAAATCGTTATTTATTACAGTTAAATTTATCATATAAAAACAAAAATTATTTTTTTTATTATAACTTATAAATTAAAATTAGGAATCTTCTTTTTGTACATTCTGTTTCTTAGGAATTAGGTAAAATTTTTCTTTTACTTTTAGGTTTAAGTGCTGCAAAATGGTTAAAGGAATCAGGAGTCAATGTTATTCTACTGGAAGCAAGGGATCGCGTTGGAGGACGAACACTTACGAAATTTGTAAATAATTTTTGTTTTCAGTACTATTTAAGTACTATACAGTATTATTCAGTACTTGCATAAATTAAATGTACTTGTTCAATATACGTTTGAATAGCTTCAGTGATTATGCCTAGCCATGCGACTTAAATCAGCTTCAGTTGGATACCTGTAAGCGACGTCACGCGTGTTAGTGTCGAGCCTGATTGGCTTCTGAATCGACAAATACTCCGATTTACTTTCGATGACGTCACTTGCAGGTATCCAATTACTTTAAATTGTGCACATAATTTAAAAATATAATTAACGTATACAGTGCTCAAAATAAAAAACGGACCACCTTGAATAACTTTTGATGCAATGATTGGATCTTCGAGTTTTTGGACTTTTTCTTAATGATTCGAAAGGATGATTTCAAATACTCTAATTAATTAGTGCAGACGATATTTTGCGATACGAAATCAGACACAAAAATGTACTTTCTCAGAATAAACATACTTTTTTTTTGACGGATTCAGATTTCTGACCTCAAAATCTGGTAAATATGGTCCTAATAGTTTGGTCAGGAGAGCAGGACCTCTTAATGTTAATTATACTTCTTGCGTATTTCGCTATACTTCGGAAAAATGCTTAAGCGAATTTGAAAATGTTTGCATAAAATTATAAAATTTATTTATCCAAAGATAATACTATGTAAAAATTAACTTTTAGTAAATATTTAATATTTTTATTATTTTATTTAATAATGGTCGAAAAATTTTGAATTGTAAGGTACAAAATTTTTTGTATAATTTTCTGGAATATAATTTCACACGGAAAAATATAAAATTTGAGCAAAAAATCAGTAGGAAAGTTTTGAGACATTGAATTTAAAAAAAAAGTCAGATATTTAGTATTCAATTACTCAGGAACAATTCGACCGATTTCGTTCAAATATTGTAATTCGCCATGCAAAATTATATTCCTCGAAATTATGCAAAAAATTGTATTCCTTACAATTCAAGATTTTTTCAACCATTATTTAAAAATAATAATAAATATTCACTAAAAGTTTTTTTCGCATGGTATTTTCTTTGGTTGAACGAATTTTATAATTGGGTGCAATTTTTTTTTAATTCGCTTTAAAAGTTCTCTCGATAAAGCGAAATGCGTAAAAAGTAAAATTAACATTAAGGAGTCAAGACTTTGGATCGCTCTCTTGACCAAAGTCGAGCTCTTTATGGTAGAACAGTTTAACGAGGACCAATATCGCACACCCTCGGTTCCTATGCAGACTGATCCAAATGATCACCAACTCTCACACTAACCGCAGTCAGTGATGCTTGACTTCGGTGATTTGCTGGGAACCGTGTCTTAACGATCAGTTCACTGCGGGACCTTAATAATATAAATAAATAGTATAAATTAGCTCTACGAGAATCTTAGAAACTGAACTGGTAATAAGTAAAGTCGTAGTCGCATAAATAAATAGTATAAAATAAGCTCCTGAAAGAGCTTAGAGACAGAACTGGTTATAAATAAAGTCTTAGTAGTATAAATAAATAGTATAAAAAAAGCTCCTGAAAGAACTTAGAGACAGAACTGGTTATAAATAAAGTTTATCATATACTACTGTTATCACAAAGCTTTGCGAATTCCAAAAGAAAGAAACTTTTACTTCTTAATTATAAATCGGTTAAATAAATTAATACCTTAAACTCTAAGTATACTACCATTTCATCAAAAATGAAAAGATTAGCTTATTCAATGCAGTCAGCGAATATAACTAGACCAATTACCTGACCGGTAACCAGAGAAGATAAAAGTCGAAAATTTTATGAAACATTTAAACTTACGATGTTTAATTTTATAACTCTCAACGTCTCTTTCTTTTTATCCTTATCTATAGTGCAAATGTTTAAATTGTCAGTTAAACCATGTAAAGTTAAATAATATAATAAAAATTTAATAACAAGATGAAGCCATTAGTTGAATAGTGGTACAATTTCATTTTTGTTTATTTGGAGATACAGAGACTTTAAGTTTGATGAACTGGGGGTGTGCTAGTTTTTAAATAACTTGTATAAACATGAAATTGAGGACTACACAATTTTTTTTTTTACTAATTGCAGTTGGACCACTATTAAAAGAGCCCATTCATATGTTAGCTTGCGCCGGCCAGGTGGCCGAGTGGTTAGCGTGCCTGACTGCGAAGCCAATGGCTGCTGGTTCGAATACCGCTCTGGTCATGGATGTTTCTCTCTCTCTGTGTTGTCTTCTGACGTGTGCTCCCCTATGAACGGGTATTTGTGGCGTGGGTAATGTTGCTCGCCTCCGTGACTTCAGTTCACAGGTGCCCACTGGGTAACGAACGATAAATGAGCAACACTTCTGGCATCTTCTAAGGCGAAGAACGAATGTTCAGTGCCAGCCGTTATTAAAAAAAAATATGTTACCGTGATATAATATAATGTTTATCTATTTTTCATCAAATTATTAATAAGAGAACGCGATACTAATTGGGAAATCGCTCATGACTACCCTAAATTAAAACTTTAAAGTATAAAAAATGAGTTCACATAAATCATGTTTAAACAGCGAAGTTCCGAACACCGAAACTTCTTTTTCTTCAAAATTGCAAACAAATTATGAAATGGAAAAAAATGTTCTTGAATGTGATAATTGCTTGCAAAAAGAGTCATTATTTTTTACCTCTTTCGTCTTTTGAATTTTAAGGAACTTTTAAACCGGTCATAATTTGTTTGCGATTTGATCTTTTGAAAAAAAAATAGCAATAGAAACCTGATAGTTCTATCTGAATGGCATGGATGGCCTGGTCGGTAGGGCACTGGGCCCATGTCCGAGAGTTCCCCGGTGCGAACCCCGCCGGCCGAAGACTCCCCACGTAGTCGGTGACTGATGCACGTTAAAATTCTGTCGAGTCGCAAAGTCCTCCATGTTCTCATAACAAATCAATACCTCTGGGGACACTGGATTGGAGATCGATCGTTCTCTGATTCAGGTCAAAATCACGATCTGTGGATGAATGAATGAATGCATGAATGGGTCCGCCTTATAAACAGGTGTGACGTATGATGTGGCAGAAGTCGAATTCTTGTCCATAGATGGCGCCACAGAAAGAAAAGAATCGCACACTCTGCCTTAAATTTGCCCGGTTTCACCAAGCAGGCTTATCCGAGTGGCAAGTGGCATTAGAACCAACCAACCAACCAGGTTTATCCGAACTTATTTTTTTCACTTTTAAATTTCAAATCATTACTGTTTTTGAAAGAGGATTTTTCCATTGTTTCTTCTGTGTTATAGTGACATCTTAAGAATCCATAATTGCGAGTAAGAATTTGTTTTTTTTTTGACATAAAAATTAAAACTAATTTTTTTCTTCTTTTCACGTGATTTCCTCTTCATATATGATTAATTACTCACTTTATATATTTTCAGGATCTTAAAGTTGATTATGTGGATATGGGAGGAGCATATGTCGGCCCTAGTCAAAATAGATTACTCCGAATGGCGAAAGAATTCGGGGTAGAAAACTACAAAATCAATGAAAAAGAGGATTTAGTATATTACAGTCATGTGAGTCATTTTTTACTGGCAATAAATAAGGGAATCTAATATGAACGTTTTACTATATAACATCAAAGCATAATGGTTTAACACAGTTTTCCATAGTTGGTGATTTTTATTCTAACAAAGTGATTTGAATTTCATCGTCTGTAGGATCCAGTTTTCCCACATTGATTTCCATATTGTTATGGCAGACATCAGTGCAAAATTAATAAAAGTCATAGAGGTATTGCTTTCCATTTTGTATATCTAACTGAAAGCTACCTGTACTACTATTATTACGTTTTTGATTTTGATTATTAGGGCGACCGCTTTTACGTTAGCTTCCGTACGCTCCCGTATATAAGAATGGAGCAACTGCGCATGTATTTTAGATGCTACGTATCTTTACGTTTATGTTGACGTGATTAACTCTGTGGCGTAACTACCACTACGATTATTAAACATCAATTCACTGGTATATAAGACATGCTAACTTGATTCAATCACGAGGTACCTTTTGATAGATGAAGGTTGGCATGGTCAATAACTCCGCCCCCCACATTGGTGACCTCCGGGCGTGATATGATCACGCCAATCTTGATTGTAACGCCCACTTTGATGGATGTTCCACATTGAATAGTTGACTTGCTACTTGTGACTGTGGCATTATCCATCTCCTCTCGCTGTTGCTACTCAGTCTCGTCTCGATCATACACAACGTAAGCCTGCATACACTCGACTGCTAAAGGCAACACAGGTGCGACTACGACCGTGAAGTTAATACACCTCTCACATTTAGCACTGAAAAACCCGGTGACCTTATTCCAGCTCTCCCGATCTTTCACAAATACAGAAACTAGTGGTATCCGTTCATCGAATTCTATCTCTGATAAAATTCTGGTGGGGGAGTATTGTGGAGTAACTACCACTACGATTATTAAACTTCAATTCACTGGTAAGACATGCTAACTTGATTTAATCATGAGGTACCTTTTGATAGAAGAGGGTTGGCATGGTCGATAACTCCTCCCCCCACAACTCTGTAAAGACAAAACTACAAGCACGCTGTTTATATATGTTAAGTTTTGTTTACTGTTTAAGCCTGCCTTCGAACTAAAAACATGGACATGGAACATTAAGAAATTAATGTATGAATAAAACATGGGCAGGGAATTTTAAGAAAAGTGCTGATGAAATTTGCTGATGAAATTTCACCATAATTGACACATGCTCACTAGAAGTGCGCATGCGCATTTATTTGAAATTTACGTACGGAAGCTACCGTAAATTTGCGAAATCTCCCTATGTTCTAAATTAAAAGTTTAATACACAGAGAATTGTTTTCTTTTATTAAAACGTAATTCTGTGCTATATTTTAAGATAAAATTGTTTAAACGTCTAATCTTATTATCCATTTTACAATTATTTTTTTGAGCAAATTACATTAACTTGCTGTTATAAATTACAGTCAAAGAGACTCGTTAAATGGTTTATTTAGATTTTAACGTGGCCAGTGTGGACACGTCCACACTCACCCCACTACTTTGTGCCAACACTAGCCACACGAAAACATGTGCTTGTTTTTGCCCATTGCTAGTAAATTGAAAATATACACAGTAAATTAATATAAAAATAGCTTTACAGCAGATCATCACATTTTGTTGAAATTCTGAAAGTAAAATATGTAAATAAAAGACTGACGAAAAAAATTTGAAGTTGCTATTGCACCTTAAAAACTTTCTTTTAAATATTATTTACAGTGTTAAAATATTTACAGTGTGATTATGCACCTGAAGATATAAGTGTACAACATTGTTGCTAATTTACGGTATCTCACGGAGGGAATTTGACCAATAAATAAAACAAAATATTCAAAATGTCAACTCAAGCTTCATGCCTACATTAGCCTCTTCTCGTCTAGTTTTTTTAAGATTAACGCTTCTCTAGCATTTGATATGAATAAATACTTTTATAAATAGTGAATAAAAAGAGAAAAGGAAATTAATAAATTAATCAGAGAATCAGTTTATTGGATGATCAGTTCATATAACAACTAATAAATCATCAAATTAGTAACTTAATGAATCAGTGAATGGATGGATTGATGAATAGATGAATTATTGAATGGATAAACGATTCCGAAAATATGAGAATTAACGAGTCGGAGTACTTGTGAATTCGAAGAATCAGCACATTAGTTTGTAAAAACTTATAAAACTGCAATCTTTTATACAAAAGGAAGTGAATCAATGAATCAGAGAATCAAGGGAAAAGGAAGTGAATCAATTAATCAGAGAATCAGTTTATTGGATGATCAGTTCATAGAACAACTAATAAATCATCAAATTAGTAACTTAATGAATCAGTGAATGGATGGATTATTGAATAAATAAACGCTTCCAAAAATATGAGAATTAACGAGTCGGTGTACTTGGGAATTCGAAGAAACAGCATATTAGTTTGTAAAAGCTTATACGACTGCAATCTTTTATACAAAAGGAATTGAATCAATGAATCAGAGAATCAGGGGAAAAGGAAGTGAATTAATTATTCCGAGAATCAGTTTATTGGATGATCAGTTCATGGAATAACTAATAAATCAACAAATTAGTAAGTGAATGAATCATTGAATGGATGGATAGGTGAATGGATGAATTATTGAATGGATAAACGATTCCGAAAATATGGGAATTCACTAGTCGGTGTAATTAAAAATTCGAAGAATCAGCACATTAGTTTGTAAAACCTTATATAGCGACAATCTTTTATACAGAAGGAAGTGAATGAACGAAATAGAGAATAAGTTTAATGGATGTTCAGTTCATGGAATAACCAACAAATCAACAAATTAGCAAGTTAATGAATCAGTGAATGGATGGATAGATAAATTATTGAATGGATAAACGATTCCAAAAATATGAGAATGAATGAGTAGGTGTACTTGTGAATTCGAAGAATCAGCACATTAGTTTATAAAAGCTTATAAAACTACAATCTTTTATATGAAAGTAACATTCTTTTTTTTAATTTCTTTCATGCTTTTATTTTTGAAACTTTTCTTACTATTGAAATTTATCTTCGTCATTCGTCATTCTACAGTTATATTACTACTATTACAAAAGATCGATTTTTGTCATCCTTTATATAAGGCAATTTTTAAATGGTCTTTCTTTTTCTTTCAGGGTAAACGAACTCCTTTTAAGCCAAGCAGTTTTCCGACTCTGAGAAACCCTTTTGTTAGCATGGATATCAATAATATATTTTATTTAACGGACAAAATGGGTGAAGAAGTAAGTAAAGCTTTTAAAGTTCAATCTATTATTCAAACATCTAAAGTAAACCTTCGTGTCTTAGAAATACAAATACAAATTATAAAGGATAAAACAATACATCAACTGGAACAAACATTTGCAGTGGGAAAACTTTTCAATATTGTACTCTTTACTTTTTAAATAAAGAAACAAATTTAATATCATAACATATGTGTATTTAGTTAAAGTTTTAATATATTATGAGTTGTTTTAAGTTATTTATTGCCATTATGTAATAGTATAATTTTTTTCCGATACTTATTGGAATTCTTCTTTTGTTCGCTTCGCTCATTAATCCCCATGGTTGTTTCTTCTTAAAATGTCGATAATTTTTAGGAAAAACAAATTTTTGTAAATTGTGTGCAGAAAAGAAAATTTTCTCATAAAATGAATTTATTAAACAATGAATATTTCGTTAATAGAAAATATTTAATTTATTAGACAAAAAAAGTTTGCAAAGGAAAAAAAAACTTATTTTTGTAACGTTTTTATCACAGAATCGGCAGATAGATAGTTTATGACGAGTGATAAATAGCATGTTTTCCCTGCTGGATAGCAATAGCAATAAGTATTTTAAAAATATCAAATATTTATATACTGATTTGTAAAAGCATTAATATAAATGTAAAAGTAATTTCTTGCTTAAAATGAGGTTCTTACTAGTTTTTTAAAATCTATATGTATATTTCTCTTACACGGCGACAAAAAAAGCCCTGAACGGCAACGCTGGAAAATCGACCAATGATTGCCGCTAAAAATGTCACATGCTAAATCTAGCTGAGGTGGCTCAACGTATAGCGCTTTTAAAAACGGAAACTGAAATAACCTTAAGCTAGGCAGAAGTGAGTAGTCTTTGTCGATAGATCTCTATTTTAGTATTTTTTCGAAAGCGCTTTTTTTCCACGAATTTATATATCACGAATTTATTTGACGATTTTTGATTTATATCACGAATTTATTAGTTTTATTATTGTTATTAGTTATTCATTGAAAAATGAGTCTCAGTCGTGCTGTTACGCTTTANTTTTGTTTTCATAATTCGGTAAAAAAAAGTTGTTATATGGATTTGAATGATTGTTTTGAATTCTTAGAATTTTAAGTATTTGCAATGTACGTAAGTTAGTAGCGAGGGAAGCGAGCTTGGTTAGCCAAGCTAACCATATAAGATTGCGTAGCAAATTTCGGGGGTTGGCGAGCGTAAGCGAGCAGGGAGATCAGCCCACTATTACTTATTTATTTATTCTTGATACTATAGTTTTGAGAACATGCGCCTCTTTCATTTTCGCTTGTTAATGCAATTTTTATGTAATTATTATTCAAATAATTTATTTTTGGTGTAATGAGTTAAAAAAAAAGGAAATAGGATTAAGTTTGGTGATGTTATGGTAACTTCTTACTATTTTTTATATTCAACTTCAACCAAGAAAAGTGAGATGATATAAAATAAAAATATAGAGTGTCATATTTTCTAATTTCTTTTCGATAAGTAAGACATATTTGGTTATGACGGTAATTTTAGGATTTTTTAATGCAAGGACATTTAAAAAAATAATTTATTATTTTTTCTACCACAGATTCCTGCTGAAGCCCCATGGAATGCTCCCCATGCAGATGAATGGGATACAATAACATACAAGGATTGGCTGCAAAAAACTTGTTGGACAAAGTATTGTCAATTTTTACAATTATTGCTTTGAAATTATTTCTATCATTTTCAATCAATCATTTTATAATTATATATTCAATCAATATTTTTTATCAATTAATTTTATTATTTTTATCATGATCTTTATTTTTATGAGAATGAATTTTATGAAATTTGCATTTGGTAAAATAATAGAAACAATAAAATTAAACAAAAAAAAATACTTTTTATTTATTGATCAGAATGTACAATGCGAAATCTGCAGAATTTGAGATGAGATTTTAAGTTACTTCGGTACATTAACTAAACTATACAATATTATTAAAAAATAAAAGAGAACTTTCACTAAATAAATGAGAGTTCAGTTTCTTTACCCATAAGCGGAACTATTCAGTTCTGCGGATATGACATTTATATTGTCAGGTTTTTCTTAAAATTTTTTAAAGACGCGCTATCTTAAAAAAAATGTTGTTTACCCTCAAAATAGTAGAGCCGAGTTCAAATTCATTAAAGACTTGCATTATTGAACCGAATTATAAATTTAGATATGAGATGCTTATTTTTTACTTATCTAAATTAGGCCCTTTAAACAAAATACTTTGAAGCATACCTCGTGCCTATTGTATATTTAAATGAAAAGTTACTTAAAGGTTACTTTTAAACTGTGCTGACTGTGTGATTGCAATTTATTTATATATATTAAGTTTAATATCTATCCTTCGTTGTTTAAAGTTATTGCCTGATCATAAAGTTACATTACTATTTTTTTAAACAAAAGTATCAAATTTGATCATATTACAAAATAAATTTAAGAAAATTAACAAAGAAGTAAAATAAAAGAACTAAAAAGGATATAAAATTGCTTCCTGAATTAAAAAGAAAAGGAAGAAAATTGCTTAAAATGTATTGGTAAATCTTAAAAATAATAAAAAATTTGTGAAATAAATTTATAAAAATTAAAATTACAAAAATTAAAAATACAAAATAAATCGACAAAATTATTAGATAAAACTACCTAAATTACATAATTAATTTATAAAAATACACAAAAGAAATTACAAAAATACATATTAAACTTATAAAGCATATAAATTAAATCTAAAAATATAACAAAATGAAACTACAAAAATTTATTAACTAAATTTATAAAAATTATAAATTAAATTCACAAAATGCTATTAAAAACTACAAAAAATCATTAAATACATTTATAAAAAAAATAAATCTACAAAAAATAATAAATAAATCAAAGAAAAATTTTAAAATAATCTGTAGAAAATTATAAAGTAAATAAATATACAAAATTTAGTAAAGGAATTTACAAAAAAAAGTATTTAAATGAATTTACAAAATATTATAAAATAGGTCTACAAAAAAATTATAAAACAAATCTACAAAATATTATACAACAAATTTACGAAAATTTGTTGTTAATTTTTAACAAAATTTAGCTGATTAACTAAGTCATATTATTTGTTTTAGGGGAGCTTTAGATTTCTTTAATAATATCATGAATGCATTTATTACTTCTGAGCATTACGAAGCTTCTCTATTAGGCTTCCTTTGGTATATAAAACAATGTGGAGGAAGCAAGAGAATCCTCTCTACTACAAATGGTGGACAGGTTGGTTTAACAATTCTTGTGTTTTTCAAGTTCTGTTGAATAATATTAAGTATTGAAATAAATTAGGTTTAAGTATGGAAATTTTACTTTTTTGATTTATTTACTAGTACATAGATAAATAGTTGTTGGAAAAACATAAGAAATTTGAAAATCTATCTTTTTCTATTTTTTTTATGCATTATCTTTTCCGTATTTAAGTATTAATTAGTGAATAATAATCCACATTAAAATAATTTTAAAAATTGAAATTTTTCCTTTTTGATATCTGTAGTGTATAGTCAAGTAAATTTGGGAGGGACCCATAGACCTTTTCACATTTAGTTATTAATTAATAGATAATATTAAACATTGGAATTAATTAGCTTTAAATATTGAAATTTACTATTTTCTTAATATTCCTATATATATATATATATATTCCTATATATATATTCCTCCCTATATATATATAGNTATATATATATAATATATTTATTTATTTATTATTTTTTTTAAATTTCCGTTGGTCAAATCTCCTACCACCCTCTAGTTTAATGGTTTAGACATGTTTCTTGCACACTTAAAAATTCGTTAAAAGGTAATAATTTTTGATATATGTTAGAAATAATAACGTAAACAGATGACAGACAAAGTTATCGCATGCCAGCATGGAAAATTCAGTATGTTAAAAAAATAGGAAAATTGTTTTGCAAAAAGTGCATAGAATCTCTCATATTTTGCCTACGTAAAAGGTATTGCTTTGTGTGGCTATCTTTTTTAATAGTTGGAAATTTTTTTTTATCTAAAGGCACAAAATTTATTATGCGAGAATGAACTTATGTGTAATTGCAAAATAAAGTGTGTTAACTGATTCAATTTTCATTTTAATAGGAAAGAAAGTTCAAAGGAGGCTCGCAGCAGATAAGTAAAAAAATGGCTGAAAAGTTAGGAGGTAATTTTTTCTCAGTTTGTTTCCTGTTTAAAATGCTAATTATTCAATGAAGTTCAGTGCATAAGAATATTTGAATTAAAGAGCATAAATTCTAAAATAGTTAATAATTTCGCTGCATTTATGTCAATTTTTTTTATTTTCAAGATGCTGTTATTAAACAAAGTCCGGTTGTTGGAATTGATCAAAGTTCAAAAGACGTCGTGATTGTGAAAACGCTGAATGGTAAAGAATACAAGGTAAGATGTTATATTAAATTACTATATAATGTACGGTTAGAAATTTCACACAGAGAAAAAAATTCTGGTAAAATTACCGTACTGTATGGTAATAACCATTCTAGAAAAAAAAACATAATTCTGTTAACAAAACCAAGATATACGGTCTTTAAATAATTCATTTGGTAATTTTTCCGTTCATATAGTAACGGTTTACCGGAAAGTTTAGTTTTCAAAATTATTTTTCTTTATCATGGATTTTGTGAAAAATGCATACAAAACTGAATAGTAAATTCAACTGAATACATGACTTTCATGCAATGCTCTAAAATTAACAAATTTTACTACCTTTATCAAATTTTAAACACATAATTTAAAACCATACTGTTAATTTTACCGAAATCATTGCTAAAGAACTTCGGTACAAATTACCGAGCTTTTGGTTTAGCCATAGATTCAGAAACATGATCAATTTTGCCATATGATAGAAGTTTTAATCAGATTTTTATAGGGTAGTTTTAAAGATACTAGCTGAGCTAAAAGTCTTACTTTCCCCTATTTTACATTCACAAAAAATATGAAAACAATTAAAAATGATAAGAGATATAAGAAGAACTTTTTGGTGATACAAAGCATAAAAGAATGAAGAAAGTTAAAAATGAAATAAATTTATTTTCTAATAATGTTAAATCAAATTAAATTGTCTTTACGTTTCATTGTTGCAAGAAGCATTGTTTTCGGAAGTTAATGGGTGACTTCAGCAATTTTTGTACCAACTATTTTTTATACTTTTTTCTCTATTTTTTTCTTCCGTCGCTTGGTTTAGAAAACAAGAAAGCAATATCTTACGAGGCCTTACGAAAACTAAAGTGTTATTTGATCAATATAAAATTCAACATTTTAAAATAGGAAACCAACTCGCCAGTTTAAGGCACATTAGATCGCCAATGGTAATTTGGCGAATAAAAATTCCCCGTCTTGTTATAACGCCTATGGTTTTCAATCAAATTAATATTGTCCATAATGTTAAATTCATTAAATAAGCTTTAATCGGCATTTCATCACTTTCATAACAAAATACATACGTGTTAGTGTTTTATATAATATGAGGCCTACCTTTCAGTGCTCAAAAATTATTGAAATTTCTCTCCAAGCTCTTTTCGAATTTTTCAGCGGTTCTAGCTTTCTTCGCGCGTTCACTGGAGACCTTTTTAGTCTAGCTATCCATGCATGATGATACCTTTTTTGAAATTAAGTTCTAAAAATATGCGTAACATATATTCCTTATAAACATCTTATTCAATTTATATACATTACCATTTTATGTTAACGAAATTAATAGTTTTATTGTTTGGTGGCATGACATTTTACATACACTAAAATGAAACATACATATTATTAAAATGCAATTTTAACGGTCTGAAAGGGTAACCTTAAGTATGTAAATTAATTGATGCAGATGATATATTTAGTAATTAAATGCAACGGAAAAAAAATAAACTGAAATAACTTTCTCTGAATAAACATACCTTTTTCATGGATTTGGTTTAAAAACCTGTCCGATTTCTTGACTTAAACTATCATCTGCAGAAAAAAAATATGTTTTTGGTTTGCCCTTCTCATAAAAAAGATTACACTCACTATGCAATAATCCTATCATTAGATCAAAAATAATAAAGTTGTATCGTATTTGTGAGCACTGTCGATAAACTAATAAGGTTTCCCATGTAATAAATTTAATTTTAAAAACATATGCAACATGTAATGCATGAAATCATTTTCTTAAAGACTTAGAAAGTTTTTTTTCTTAAACTTGGGAACTCGACGTTACTTTGCAACCATTATCAACTTTTTATTTATAATTTTAAAACTCAAAGCATTGAGAAAGCTTTTCAAATGATTCAACGGAGTAAGAAAATTGAAAGACAGATTTTTTTCTTAAAATATCGAAAACTGCATGGTATATTTTTCTAAAGTAGTGGGCTGCGCCCCCTGCTCGTTAACGCTTGCCAACCCCCGAAAATTGCAACGCAATCTTATATGGTTTGCTTCGCAAACCAAGCTCACTTCGCTCGCTACTAGCTTAGGTACATTGCAAATGCACAAAATTCTATGAATTCAAAACAATCATTCAAATCCATATAAAAACATCTTTTTAAAAAAAAAAATTACATCTTTTTAGTAAATACTAAGTCATTAAAATAAATTTGAATTCAAATAAATGACATGTAATTCGTTAAACCTATTAGAAATGTGCTATAGTATAATTCGTGATATAAATCAAAAATTGTCAAATAAATTCGTAATATATAAATTCGTGAAAAAAAGCGCTTTCGACAAAATACTAAAATAGAGATCTATCGACAAAGACTACTCAATTCTGCTTAGCTTAATAGTATGAGATTGCCGCAGCTGATGCTCTCTGGTTATTTCAGCTTCCGTTTTTAAAAGAGCTATATGTTGAGCCACCTCAGCTAGATTTGGCAGTGACATTTTTAGCGGCAATCATTGGTCGATTCGAAATGTAAGAGAAATAGTGATGTAAACAAAACGAAGCAAACTTTGCCACCGGCGGAAAAGAAATAGAGTCAAAATTTGGGAGCCACGTAAGAGAATTATATATGGTATTAGATTCTGCAATTTTCTTCTTTTCATTTTAGGCCAAGTATGTGATTCTTGCATTACCACCTGTACTACAAATGAAAATTCACTATACACCAGAACTGCCACCCTTGCGAAACCAGTTGATCCAAAGAGCTCCAATGGGATCAGTCATGAAAGTCGTCGTCTACTATTCCAAACCCTTCTGGAGAAGTAAAGGTACTGGTCGAACAAAATTAATTCGTAACTATGACCCAAATTCAATTATTCTTTATTATGGAATTATACGAGGGATACAAATAAAGTAACAGCATTTTTTAATGAACTTATATTTAGAATTGGATAAAATTCCTTCAATGCAATCATCTACGAAGTCACGTATCAGATCTCTGGAAACCCTAAGACACCGTAAAGTGTTGTGAATTGCAAGTCAGAGATTGAGTGCCTAGTGCTCGGATCACTAATGATGGGCAGTGTTTATTTCTATGGAATTTGCGAATCAATAATATGATCTGAATTTGAGTTTCTTAAAAATCTAATGTAGGATTTTATTTTTATAAATTTTATAGGTAAATCTTTTTTTTTGTCCAACTAATTAATAAAGTTTATCAATCTGGTGGATTGATTCCTTTAATCTGACTGAGAAATTAAATTTAAAAAAAAGATTTCTCAAGACATAGTTCTAAAATTTTATAAATATTATTTTATAATAATGTTGATGAATCAGATCGATTAATGACAAAAATCTGAATTCAGTAAAATCTTACTGATGAATCTGATTAAATAAATAATGTGAAGATCATTTTTTCATTTCCTACTCGTCATCTAATTACAGTTCAAAAGAAATACAATTATGCTTTGAATTTCTTTCCAGGATATTGCGGATCATTTTTGATTGAAGGTGGGCCAGATTTTCCAGTTAATTTCACGCTTGATGACACAAAACCAGATGACACTTTTCCTGCTATTATTGGGTAAATGAAGCTGCTAATACTATACAATACTTATAATGTATTATTTTGTTTTTCTGAGAATAAAAAACATGAACGTGTTGTAACTCTCTTATAACTGAATAATTTGTGCTAGCGTCTTGAAATTTGAGTAATATGATCCATAAGACAAATTTAGACACTAATTCCAAAAAAATCACTAGAAAATTTAAATTATTCAGTTGTTTAAAAATGAAGTTTTTCATAGGTTTAGCAATAGGTTAAATATAGAATTTATTAGTTTAGTTTGTTTGCAGCATTTGCTGTATGTTTAAAAAGATTTAGGGTTGTTTTTTTTCATTTTATCTAAAATTGAATTGTATTTTGCTTTTGGATCTATAAATTTTTTTTGGCTTACAATTATTTAAAAATTGATTAATGTTTTTAGCTATTTATTCCTCTTTTTTATTCTATTGCAAATTCATATGTAGGTAATTGCATTTTTTCATTGGTTTAGAACTCCCCATTGATAAAAATGAGACTTATGCTGAGGATTTTCCTTCCTTGAGCGATTTTAAATATGACATCAACGATGTTTGCTAACTTACAACTCTGTTTAATGGAAAACGGAGTTCATGAATCAATGTTGCTTTCTTTTGAAATCAACGTCACGGATGTTTCATAAAGTTATCGGAAATCACCTGTTTATTTTGTTCAAAGTTGCCTATTCCTATGTGTACTATTTACTTAATTCCCAGTCCTACGACGGGCTTTAACTCATTCATTTGTGTAGGTTATGAGTAAAATTTGCCAAAGCACATTTTAGTTGAGTGGAGAAATTATCTGTAAGATATATATACACATGTTATCAGCTAATTGCTGAATCTTTTCGAAAGTACTCCGCCCGATAAGAAAACACAGTTGCCGGACTGAATTTTATACCACTGTCTAATAGTTCAAAGTCAACGATGTTTTTGTGTTTATATTTGTCACATTTGAGTTAGTCCTTGAAGAATGTAGCACTTAACTGTGCGATATGCTCGTTAATGCTGCAACATTAAGGTTTTTTGTTCTTAAAAACCTGGGGCTCAAGTGATCCTCCTCAGGAATGTATTATGTGTTATCTTGAGGCTTTTTTCTGGGTTTTCGATGTTGTACTCTACACTGCAGCAGCATAGCTTATGATGAGGGGTATACATTGCAAGTAAAGCATTAGGTATAGGACCAATTTTGAATTATGGTAAATAATGGGTTTGAGGGCCAGGTATGCTCCTTCTGTCATGTTAAGAATATTAAAAATATGAGTTTTTCAATTTAATGTGTTTATAAGGATAATACCAAGATTTTGAGCTGTGTTAACCATGGGAGCATTTTCATTAAATTGCTCCAGGTTCAATTTTTAAACCTTTTATATGATCTTCTAATAATTATGCGCGAAGACTTAGTGGCATTGATGGAAGTTTTCTACTTTGCAGACCACTCTTCAATTGATGGTTTGATTCTTTTGATGTTTTTGACTGCTAAATTCGGGCAAAGTAATCTACTGAGGATGCTCGTATCATCCGCATAGAAAGCTGTTGTTATGTTTCTCATGTCGTCAAATTTGGGGAAGTCAACTGAGTATATCAGGTACAGGACAGAGCCCAGGATGAATGAAATTCCTATCTTGATGTTTCTGCTGGTTTTGACGTGACGTGATCATGGGCTTTAATGGGAAAGGTTCTGCACAGTATCTCCTCAGAATCAAGGAAAGATGCAATAAGTTTGTATCTGAGAACAAATTGTTCATCTGGTAAAAAGCTGAGGTAGGGTTTCAGTCAAAGTTTTCAAATTTTTTTTGAAAAGGCAGTTAAAAGAATACTTGGCCTATAGCTCTCAGGATTTTATAGATTTTTTCTTTGCTTTGGAAAGAGTATTATGTGTTCGTGTTTCCATTTTTGTTGAAAAAATAATTTTATCTTGATGCAGGAGTTGATTAATTAATTTGATTTGTTCTTTAATGTTTATGAGGAGATTTTTAAGCATGATGTTGTTTATCTTGTTCATTCCGGAGGCCTTGTTTTTATGAAACCTTGTTATGATATTAAATAATTCTTCCAGATTGGCTGGTTTAATTGTATCAAGATGATTATTTGTAGTAATAAATTCATGATGGATATCCAGGATCTCAGTCTTTGAGGTTTTGTCATTTAAGGAAAATTGTTTCTCCATTACATCCATGAATATTTCAGTTTTGTCTCTGTCGGAATATGTTTTGTCATTGGGCTCATTCTAAGGCAGATTTGTGGTCTTTGCTATATTAAGTAAACGTACCCTGCTCCTTGCTGACTTGGGTTGTTAGAATTTCTACTTTGTCATCCCAGTTTTCTTTTTCAAATTCTGCTATTTGCTTTTAAAAAGCGGTTGACTTGGTGTTCAATGGTTGGATCACGGGTACTCTGATATTCCTTTATGAGTTTGTTTAATTTTAATTTGATATTTGATATTATATGGTTGTTTGCAGTAATTGATTCTTATTTGAGTTTAGTAAGTGGCGTCATTATAAGCTTCCTGGATACTGTGGGTGCTTGGATAAGTTGCGTTTTTGAAAAATGATTTTGCAAAAATAAATAATTTAAAATCTATGGTAATTGAAGGTTTTTGAAAAATAACTTATGTATTAAAAAGTGAGAGAGAAAATTGCTAGATGTGATAATTTATGATTATCATAAATTGCCAATGAGCAATGGCATCATTATGCTTAATACAGTAAATCTTTTTTGCGATGTATTTAGCTTCTGAAAACATGTTTTACTTAATCTAATAGCGCAAAGTTTCTGGATAGAGCAACAAATATTAATAAATAAATAAAATTTAAATTATTTCAATTTTATTATTTGTAATACGTATGACCTTTTCAATTTCATGCATGATTTCATAATTTTGATAAAAAAACTATTTATCGATTATTCGCTTATTTCGTTGTTTATTTGTTAATTAATTTTTTATTTTTAAACTTATTTATTTACTCATGATAAACAGAAATATTAAACACTATCTGAAATACCATACGAAAAACGTGTGTTTAAGTTAAGAGTTTAACATTTTTTTTTAGCATGCACCTGATAACCAAAATTGTTGACATCTTGATTTGAAATCTTAACCAAAAACTGCTAGAAATAATACATTCTTTTACAATTTAATGAAAGAATAAATGGATAAATAAATAAATGGTAGAATGAATAAATGGATGAATGAATAAATGGAGGAATGAATAAATGGATGAATAAATAAATGAATGAATGAATATATGAAGGATGAATGAATGAATAAATAAATTAATGAGTAAATAAATGAGCGAATGAATGAAGGGATAAAAGAATGAATGAGTGAGATTTTTAAATCTAGTTTTAGCTTTTATCTATTTATCAATTTCTTTATTTTCATCTATCTTTCCTCTCATATGTAAAAAATTAAAGTTTGTTTTAAGGGAAAAGTTTAATTAAAACTATATTAAAATAACTGAATAAAATTTTTTATAGCCTTAAGGACAAAAATAATAGTCACTAAAGCTTGAAAAATCTTTTAGTAATCATTTATTTGAAAGCATAAAAAAAATTCTTATGTAAATTTTGAAACACGTGGATGTTATTGTACAGATTTTTTATTCTAGATTCTTATTATCCTAAATGTTCTATTTTTTTACATGTGATTACTATCTTAATTTCAAAAACTATTTTTTATTTTCTCTTTCGTTTCTTAGGTTTATTTGTTCAGATAAGCTTCGTCGTTTGTGTCAACTAAGTGCAGAAGAAAGAAAAAATATGGTAGCTAAAAGCTTCGCTGAAGTAACGGGCCTTCAAGAGTTTCTTAAAGTAAATATTTAATATATTAATGAGATTTTATGTACTGTTTTGTGTGAAATTTTTTTACAAAATCGAAAGCTTTTACTTTTCTTTTTATGAAAATAGTTCTTTAAAACTTGCATGAAATACTCTAATATATACCCAATTTTTTATTAAATATCCCATATGAGATATTTCAAAATTGAAACAAATATTCATTTTTATTCACCTTTTAAAACGATTAGGTGCCAAATATAACGTTTACCCACATAAAATATTAAAAAGTTGAATAGCATCATATTGCAGTAGTGATAACTGCACCGCTATTCAAAATTTTAAATGTAGGCACGAGAAAATATAACACCTAAATTCGTTAGTTCATATTAGAGCATTTGAAGTGAATGTAAAGTATAGCTAAGAAGGATGCATTAAGAATACGTAAACACAAAGTATTGTGCCAGAATGTTATTGCATCATCATGTCTCTACCCGTGTCAGACGAAGTGCAGCTGAAACTCTTCGTTTATTTCTAATCATTTTATCATCTGCAGTAATGAGATCTTGAAAAATCATCTTACTTGTTTACGTTGTGTCTTGGCAAATCCAGTATTGATGTACTTCCTTCAGGAAAACTTTCATACCGAACATTTACAACTGTTTGTTTTATACAGAATTAGTCATAACCAGCAAATTTTTATGATATACGTCCAGATTGCACTCGCTCTCTAAATACTAAAAATTGTACTGACACACGTTATTCTGTTCTAGAATTATTCATCGTTTCATGACTTTACATTAACTTTGAATGCTCTCATGTGAACTGTTTTATCAGTTGTTCGCAACACATTCTACAAGGAGCTCTTCTTACCTTAATTTATAATATTTATAATCTGGAAAGATGGTGGTGTTATTGATGCACCATTTCTGACACTAACAGGTAGGTGAATTCTTCATTTCGACAACCTTCATACATTGATGTGGGAGAATCTCAGGAATCATCAATCGAATTCGATCCATTCTCTAGGTTGTCCAGACCGTAACCCTGTCAAACCGTAACCTCAGGATTAATTAATTGAATTTAACATATCAGAACTTAGTTTTTTCCCTATGTTTTANTTTTATTCATTTTCAAACAATTCTGGAGGTGTAAAAGTAGTGTGCCTATTATTTTTTCTTTATTATCAAAATTTAAAGGTTTTAGAGTTCGGCACATATATATTTAGTTGTATTTGATTTCATTGTTATAAGTGTTTTGGAAATTTTCACATTTCCCAAAACATTTTATACAAAGTTATTACTAAGATAAAAATGTTATTCGTGTTACTCGCTCGTAAGACATGGTTTCTAGTAGATCACCAAAATCAAGCATCACTGGGTTGTGGTGGATGACTACTTTAATCTGCCTGCTAAGGGACCGAGGGCGAACGGTATCTGTTTTCCTGTAACTGTTCTACCATGAAGTGCTCTAATTCGCACGCATTTTCTTGGGTTACCAAAGTGGGAACTATTCCCCCTGTAGTGAGATGGCAGATTTTAAATGTAGTCCTTTTAACCCTTGTCGTCCTTTTATCCTTGTAAGCCTTTAGTCAAAATTGCAATGACATGGTTTTGGATCATCGTCAGGGATATTTCCTGGACCGTTGCCAATAACCCATAAGTGCCGCGTAAATAATAATACTATTACAGGTACTATTATTCTTTCATCCCCTAGTTTATATGAGGCCCATCAGGGAAAAAAACGAGAGAAATTGTTGCTATTTTTTAAATAAAGTAGGTAGTTAAGATTCTCCGTAAAATCCTGCAATATAGTTGCAATTACCAATAGTAGTTACAACATTTTGTAACTTAATTATGTACGATAAAAGTATTTAGATACATTATCGGAAATTTAATTGTGGTCCTTATTTTAATAATTAACATTAGCTATTTTTTGTAGGGTAAATTAACTTTTATTTACTTCTGTAATTTTAAGTTAAGATGCATAGTAAAAGAGTTAACGGAATTACTTTGCCTGAAATTTAATAATTTATACTTTCATAAAAAATTTATGGCTTTTTTTTAAAAAATGCATGACAAAAACAATTTTAGAGAGGTTAAATTTGTATAAAAATGTTAGTATAATTATCTGCTCTTAAAGTTGTAGAGTAAAACTTTTTATTGGCATGGCAAACAAATAAATTTTGGAAAAAGATTGTACAAAAAGGTTTTATGAAATTGTATTTTCAGCCAATTCACTATGAAGAGCATAATTGGATGGAAGAACAATATTCTGGAGGATGTTATACAGCTATGTATCCACCGGGGTTTTTCACTCGTTATGGAAGGTTAGCTCTTAAGATCATCATAATTATATAAATCTATCTTGTATAAAACACTAATAATCATGTAAGTTGATTGTTACAAAACCGATAAAACTTCTTTCTCGCATTGGCAAAAAGTAAACTATTTTAGCTGTTAACTCTCAAAAGATTTTGAATGATAAGGAATTTAAATATAAACTGCGTAATTTTAAATTTAAGCCAAGTGCGCCAAATAGTTTTCGAAAAGTAGTATTTTAAAAATTTGATTTCTCAGGAAATTTTGTTAAAATTTTGTATTCTGATATTTAAAATTGTATTCTTTAAAATGATGTAGAATATTTTATATTTTAAGATTTCGAAATTTTTCGACTATTATTAAATGAAATAATAAATACTTGTATTTAGTAAAATTATTTTTTGCATGAAATTATCTTTGCATAAATAAACTTTATAACTGTAAGCAAGTTTTTCTTCTATTCATTTGAAAAGTTTTCGAGATACGCGAAATACTTAAAAAATAAAATTAACTTTAAGGGGTCCAAACATTGGACCATATTTCCCAGATTACGGCTACCCCATACATTTCGGGGATTAGAAACCCGAATCCGTCGAAAAATCAGTATATTTATTCAGAAATGACACGTTTTCTGATTTTTTAACTTAATATCGTCTTCACTTATTGTATATTTGAGGTTACCCCCTCGAAACATAAGATTGAGTTCTAGAACTTGAATATCTGATCATTAGATCAAATGTTATTTAGGGTGTTTCGTTTATTATTTTACTCTTTGCACTTTATTATTGAAGAAGTTTTCATTGAAAAATTATAAAATAATTATGAAAAAGTCTTTTTTGCTTTGAATCACCTTTGGATAAACGAGTTTTCTAATTGAATATTTGCAAGTAACGTCACCGGATTGTAAATCTTGGAATTTATCGATTTCGAAGCCAATCAGGTTCGATACACATGTGACGTCTCTCACAGGTGTCCAATTTAATCAAATGGTTAGGCATAATCATTTTTGTTTTTTGTCGAGTTGCAAGTACTTAATTGTGTAATTTTCTTAATAGTTTCTTAAACTGTTCTAAAAATATAAGAAAATGCGCAAAAAGTGAAATTAAGATTAAAGAGCTTAATTTTTCAACCGTTCATGTTTATTAACTATTCTGACAATATTTTACAGATTACGGGTACCTACAGTATTTCGATAGTCAAAATTAAAAATTTATAAAAAAATTATCACAAATGTGCTCTTGGAGCTGAAATTTTGCAAACTTTGAAACATTATGATCATCGTAATGAAATCCGGAATTTTTTTTCTCGATTCAATCAATTTAAACACAACTTTTTGTGTTGTGATGCTTTTTAAGAAAAAATTGAATGACCGAAATTTTAGAAAGAGTGACTGTTGAATGAATTACGAGAAAAAAAAATTATATAATATATGTTTTTTTTTAAAAATAAATTTTTGGGAAATTTATTTTCTTAAACTAATAACTAAATGATTAGTTTGTTTAACTAATTTTTTACTTAATAAATCAAAGAATTTTAAAATTCGCTTTGAGGAAACGTACGAAAATACAGACATAGTAGCAAAAGCATTGTAGTAAGCAAAGCAAAACAATTACTTTAAATATCTTTCCTTAATCTAAATCGTGAAATTTGGGTGAAATAAAATTGTTCATAATTTTTAATATTCTGTCACTTGCGATAAATTTATAATTTAATAAATACTAAAGGAATACATAAAAATTATTATGACATCAAACAATAACATTGTTAAAACATCAGTTGAAGATTAGCTTCAACTTTAAATTTAATTCAATTAACTATTATTTATAGTGTTGTTTTTCTGTTTATTTATTAAATGTTTTGGACATTTTAAAGCAAACTGATGTGAAAATGTTGTTCATAATGTAATTCATTTTCAAAGAATAACCTTCATGTGTAATATTTTAGTCTTTTTTTAAAAAAGCGTAAATTTTGTTTTGTTAATTGTACAGAGTGATACGTGAACCAATAGACAGGATGTATTTTGCTGGCACGGAAACTGCAATAGAATGGTCTGGTTACATGGAAGGTGCCATTGAAGCTGGGGAGAGATCTGCTCGAGAAATTCTTTATGCGATGGGAAAAATAACACGTGATAAGATATTTCAAAAGGAACCTGAATCAACAGTAAGTTATTTATAACTACTAATCATTTTATAGTTTTTAAGTACTATATTATCTTATGCTATACCATGATTACGAGTTGATTAAACTGATATTACTATTTATAACTTTGTACTATTAAAAATTAAAAATATCCCTCTCCATAAGTGACTTTTGATTACATAACTGAATAGTTTTATGCAAAAGTTTGGTTTATGAATTGGGAATAGTTTTTTTTTCACAATTATTTTTTGATTCAAAAAACCTATTTAAGTAGAGCTTATTATTTAAGGCTAACTACATAGTACCTAAAAATAACCAACAGTTTCAAAAATAATAAAACAAAAAAAATGTACATTTAGCTGGATTCTGCTTATGAAACCAGATAAATTTGTTTTTGCCGAATTCAAATTTCAAAACCTATCTATGGATGGGGCTGATAACTGATAAATAACAATAGAATTATGTTTTCAGACAACAATTTTGTTCTAAATCAAAGCTATGTCGTTGTGCTACAGCAACCCAGTACTGTATTATAATAAAATTAATAGATATCCGTACACTTATTTCATTTCGAATTGTGCAATGTGCAGCAGAATATTTCATGTAATAGTTTTCGAATTAATGGCACCGTCTGATGACAAATTTGCTAACAAATTTTTGGATTTGGGTAGAATAAACCATTAGCTTCAAAGCCAGAACTTAGTTAACAGTACATTTCTATTTTTCTTTATGTGTCAGTAATTGATTTGTCAGTTCAAATTGTCAGTAATTATAGGGGTGCCAGGTAAAAAAATTACTAAGTAAGACCATAAAGATGTATTTTATGTTGACAAACATGTTTCATTCAATGAATGCTATATATGCTTCTATAAATGTTTTATTCTATAAATGCAAGCATGCATCATTCTATAGAAAAAAACATATACAGCTAAGATTAGGTACTAGGGGGACACGGCCTCTGTTCCCAACGTTCATTTTGCTAACTGCTTTTGTATTTCATCCCTTCAGTGGGTCGATAAATGAGTATGAAGCATGCTTGGGAACTAAACATTGGGGGTTCCGTGTTTGGCTGACCACCTAACCGGAACATCTGCTCCTGCACCCCAGAACCCAAGGTTAAGAAAACTGAGATGGATACAATAGGCCTTGGCCCTCTATGGCCTGTCGTGACACAGATTTTAAAAATAAATCCGTAATATATATATATATATATATATATGAACTACTACTTCTTTATGGAGCAAAACTTACTTGAATCTAACACGCTATTATTAATTGCTATGGTTACTTTTAATAATAATGAACAAAAAATACCACCATAGAATCGGCGGATTTTTTTAACTATCAAGATATATGCGTCAAGATAACGCGTTGTGCAATATCTTNTATATATATATCAAGCTGATTCGTAATCTATATATTTTGTAATTTTCAGGATGTCTTACCAAAACCTTTTGAGGTTAGCTTTACTGAGAAATATACACCAACTGTGCCTACTTTTTTGAAGTTAATGACCATAACTGCTATTGGATTAGGAGCACTAACTTTTCTGAAATGTCCTAAATCAGTAAAAAGCGATATGTTATCTTGCTTCAAACTACGCTGAATGAGCTTATTTTGTAATTTTTTTAATAAAAACTATTTTTGTAATTTTTTTTCAAAATTTTGAATTGCAAATAAAAGATATTTATAATCTTGTGAGCGTTTCTATTATTGAGTAAAAATTAAAAATGTTTTTATTTATCACTTTTTACAATTACGTGAGAAACATTTAGTACCAGCATTTGGAAAATTTTTGATCCATAAGAAACTCCCATTTATGCGATCAAAAGCAAAAATGAATAATAATACAAAACAAAAATGGTGTCCCAAAAATGTCCAGTGATTTAAAAAAAGTATGAAAGAAAAACAAATGGAGTGCAGTTTGCTATGATATCTTTACAAAATCAACGACTTTTTCTTTCACCAAATTTAAAATTAGTTAAAAATCTTGTCTATCGATGGCATTGCCAACCTATATATATGCAAAATAAAGTTACTGAATAATTTTGTGCAGTCTGAAAGCAGAATTCATAGACGCACCAGCAAATATTTAGATCTGAATGATCTGGCATGCATTATTTGAGTGTTGTAGACAGCAGCGCTATCTTTTGGCAGACTTGGTAGCTAATTTCGAAATTTCTTGAGAATAAATGGATGATTTTTTAAGTAGCACTCAGCATACTGAATACTTCCTTTGTAATCCATTTTTAATTGTTTTTTTCAAAACTGTTGATACTTTTCGGAACACTCACAAATAAGCAGTACTATCATCTAGTAGCTGTCAAAAGTTAAAAAAAAATAATTAACGTCTCACATATCAAAATACAATTCTTTATTTGCTTTGAATAACTACACAGAGGAAAAGTGTGGTCAAGACTACCGGAATATGGTAAAGTTTACCGTGTTTCTGGCTCTATGGGTACATATCAATTAAAAGAAGATATATTAAGTTTGTTCAGCATATGTACACTGTGAGAAATTTCTCGGAAAAAATGGTTGAAGAACAATTTATTTAATTTTTATTTTATTATATTCAGACAACATAGTCAAATAGCCGTAAATAAAATGGTAATCAAACGGTGAGAGAAATCGGCTATAATCTGCTTTCGCTTAATATGGTTGCACAATCATAATAATGTTATCGCACTAGCTAAACACACCTAATGAAGCCAATTAGTTCCCTGCAACTGCGTGCTTATTATAGCCGAGAGGGCCAATTTGTCAGTATCATGAACGAGAAAATTGAAGTTTGAGTCCCAACGTTGACACCACAATGTTTCCACCATTCTATTCACCAGAGTTTTCTGTGTCCTGGACTCTCCAATGCCCATTATCTAGAGAAAAGTCTACCTCCTATGTCCAGTTAAATTTTATTTTTATGGTTTTGAAACTATGCTAGTTGTAAAAGGTTAAAAAAAAAGTATAGTTTTGTATTCATGGTATTATAAACAAACTAATTGTAAATGGTTTCAAAACCGTTAAGGTAAAACATGTTCTTTTCGGTAATATTTACGGTTCATCCGATATATAGTGCTGCTGGTTATTTTACCATAATTTTGGAATGAAAATTCTAACAGCTTACATGTACGCTGTACACGTGTACACTTTCAAATATGAATATGTACGAATGTGTTAACATTTTGCATGTGTGTTTAATATTTAAACATAATAAGGAAAGATCTTTTAAAGGTATGAAATAATTTTAGGGGAAGTTGAAAACTGTAAATAATTTAATATATTAAAATATAATAATATATTAATTTGGTATATTAAACTGTAAAAATTGTATAAATTTAGTTTTTGAAAGAATAAACTGGTCTACGAAGAGAAACAAAAGTGATTCCTCTGCAAGTGTTATAAGAGTTGCTAAGCAGATTTTCTAGCTCTAGCATTTACTATTGGCTCTAAATGGTCTTCAAACCAATACTTTAAAGAAAAAGAAAGAAAAAAGACAATGCGGTTCTGGAAATTATATAATGTTTTCTATACACTCCGCTTTTAATACATATTTTCATAAAATTCAAATAAAGAAAAAACAAAAACGATATCAGTATTTGAGGAATCACTATCGAAGTTCGATGTCCAGGAGGTTGTGAGTTTGATCCTCGCCTGCCGAAGACTATCCTCATAGTCAATGGTGGCTGGTACACGTTAAATCATCTAAGTAACAAATTTCCTCAATATTCCGACAACAGATCTTTTTTCAGGGAGTTCTGAATTGGAGATTGATCGTTCTCTGATTCAGGTCAAAATTATAATCTGTGGATGAATGAATTTGTCCTCCCTATAAACGGGTTGTCACATATGTGTGGCTGAAGTCGTATTCTTGTCCATAGATGGCACCACTGAAAAACAAGAAATGCACACCCTGCCTTAAATTCGCTTGGTTTCACAGAGCAGGCTTGATGGTACAGTGAAACCTGCCAAGTTGACCACCCTTGTAAGTTGGGCACCTGCATAANAATCGCTAAGTCGCGTAATATTTATTGGTCTCAATTATTTAAGAATTTGCTTTTTTCCTTCAATTTTGTCATCGAAACCTAGCATTGCATTGAAATGGCCCAGAGTAAAAGGGTTAAACTCGTGTAGAGTCAATTTTCGAATCGCCCCCCTTAACAATCAAATTGCCCCCTAGTGGGGCGTGGGCCCACGTTGGGAAACACTGCTCTAAATGGTCTTCAAGCCAATACTTAAAAAAAAAAAAAAAAAAAAAAAAAAAAAAAAAAAAAAAAAAAAAAAGAAAGAAAGAAGACAATGCGATTCTGGAAATTATATAATGTGTTCTATACACTCCGCTTTTAATACATATTTTTCATAAAATTCAAGTAAAGAAAAAACAAAAACGAAATCAGTATCTGAGGAATCACTATCGAAGTTCGATGTCCAGGAGGTTGTGAGTTTGATCCCCGCCTGCCGAAGACTATCCTCATAGTCAATGGTGGCTGGTACACGTTAAATCATTTAAGTTACGAAGTTCCTCAATATTCTGACAACAGATCTTTCTTCAGGGAGTTTTGAATTGGAGATTGATCGTTCTCTGATTCAGGTCAAAATTATAATCTGTGAATGAACTAATTTGTCCTCCCTATAAACGGGTTGTCACATATGTGTGGCTGAAGTCGTATTCTTGTCCATAGATGGCACCACTGAAAAACAAGAAATGCACATCCTGCCTTAAATTCGCTTGGTTTCACAGAGCAGGCTTGACGGTATTAGCAAGTGGCATTAGAAATAACAACAACACAACAACATCTTTCGACCTTTCTATGTGCTAATCAAACTGGCTTTAATAATTTTATTCACAACTTATATACATGTAAAATGATGCAGTCGGACTGAGTAGGAAAGCAGACACAGGATTTTAATGAAAGCAAAGTAACTTTTATTATGTCATTCTTTGTTGAGTGGAGAGCGAAGAGTGTTGTCTACTCCATGAGCGATCAGTCTTTCTCGCTGGGAAAATCTTGCAAAAAATCCGAAAATGTCTGTATTTAGGGAAAAGAGGGAAATCTTAGATATTACTATTGGTTTAAGAAATAGGTCGAGTTATTCTCATGAAGATTAAAGGGAAAAATGTCTTTATTTAAATTTATGCATACTTGGGCCAAAAACAGATTTAAGAACAGGATGTGGCCTTTAAAAGTGTGAGAAAGCATTTCGATTTGAATAATTAATAGGATTAAGTTTTATAGTGAAGAACTAACGTAAAAAGATTAATAGTAGCTTTTTATGTTACATTCCCCCTCTCCAAAAAATTTTAAAATTAAAAATTTTAAAAATTATTCTTTTGCAAAACTTTCCCTGTTATGACGCAATGAAAATGAAAAAAAAATATTTGTGATATCAACAAGATATAAAGTAACATGAATTATAAAAAGTACACATTTGTACACAATTTAAAATTTTTTTCATAAAGTGTTCGAGGAAGAAAAAAAATTTGAAGTAGCGCTACCATCAAATTGAAGTGTTAGATCTTCATTTTCAATAGTTTTTATGATTTAAGTTTTTTCAGTCCCTTGAAAATCACAATAAATAAAGTTATTCCTCATGCAAACGCAATTTAAGTAAACTTTTCACTTAGATAAGAAAATCTATAAAAGTTTTCTAAAAAATGCAAATATTGAAAAACATGAAAGATAAAAAATATGAAAATACAAGTGATATGAGATTTAAAAATACAAATTGACATTTTTTGTCAAAAAAATTTCAATCTGAAATTTGTATTCAGGATGGTATACATTGAAAATAAAATGTAAAAAAAAATTTGACACAATGGTCGTTATTCTGAAGTTTATGACTTCAGTATTTTTATTCATGGTATAATTTCAGTTTGTCAGATGGGTGGTACCTTCGCAATTTTGATATCTGAACTATTTCTGTATTTTCTTTATTATGAATATTCTTTTTATTTATTTTATAATTAACATCAGAAATTTTTTCAAGAATTATACATGGACCGGAAAAAGTTGGGATAAGTTTCCTAGTATTGGGGTATTTAAAATCTTCATATATTACAGTATCATTAGGGGGAAATTCAATACGAGTGAATCTTGCATCATAATAAATTGTATTTTTCTCATGATATTGTTTAGTTCTTTCAACTGCACTTTTTCTTGCTTCTTCTATTGTGGATAAATTTCTTCGGATAAAGGATGATTAAATGGGACAGTACCAAGCATTAAATAAGATGGTGGAAATTTAGTTACTGAATGTGGAGTTAAATTATATTCTTCGGTTACTTCTTCTAATAATTTAGGCCAAGGAATTTTTTTAAAAGAATCATTAATTTTACATTTTTAAGAAAATTTTTATAGATTTTCTTATTTTCAATGAAAAGTTTACTTTAATTGTGCTAGTATGAGGAATAACTTTATTTCTTGTGATTATCAAGAAGAGCTGAAAAAACTTCAATCACGAAAACTATTGAAAATGAAGATCTAATACTTCAATGTTTTTTTCTTCCTCGAACACTTTATGAAAAAAATCTTTTACATTGGTTACTAATGTGTATTTTTTATAATGTGTATACAAGTTACTTTATATCTTGTTGATATCACGAATATTATTATTATTTTTTTCATTTTAATTGTGTCATCATAGGGAAAGTTTTGCAAACTGATAATTTTAGAAAGTTTTAGATATTAGTTAAAAATTTTCGGCGAGGGGGGATGTAACATAAAAAGCTTCTATTTATCTTTTTATGATAGTTCTTCACTATGAAACTTAATCCTAATTACTTATTTAAATCGAAATGCTTCCTCACACTTTTAAAAGCCATACCCTGTTCTTAAATCTGTTTTCGGCCCAAGTATGCATAAATTTAAATAAAGACATTTTCCCTTCGACCTAGTTCATAAACGAATAGTAATTTCCAAGATTTACCTCTTTTCCCTAAATAGAGACATTTTCGGATTTTTTGTAAAATTTTCCCTACCAGAAAGACTGATCGTCCATGGATTAAGCAACGCTTTTCGCTCTCCACTCAACAAAGAATGACATAATAAAAGTTACTTGCTTTCATTAAAATTCTGTGTCTGTTTTCCTGCTTGGTCCGACTGCATCATTCTACATACATATTTTTAAAGTTTGGATAGCGAAAATGTTTACTCTTAGCGTAAACTTATCCTAGCTTAGAAACTTATGACGTATTTGAGTTTTTTACTTAATTTTCGACGAGTTTTCTAAAAACATAAATTTAAAATTGAGATTAAAGAAAAGTAAGTATACTCCAATCGGATAAACAAGGAATGGTTTTATTCAATTTTATGAACATAACCTCAAATAATCTGATGTAAAGTATTCTAACCTAATGTTGGGTACACCGTCTTAATTCACTTTCCCTACATCCCCAAAATGAAAAAAAAAAAAAAAATCAAAACCACTTCTGATCGTGAACTAATCAATCATGAATTCATAAAGCGATGAAAATCTCGGATGAAAAGCTGAAGTCAATTGAAATAACCCGATTGCAAAGAAAAATGAGATTTCATCAATTTTCATCAATCTTAACGACATTTATTATAATATTAGGAAATCTTGTGACATCATTAAATAGTAATATGCGTTTGATATAGTTTATTCGAACGTTCATGTTTTACTTGCTTTCCATGCTTACTCTTAAAATAATTAAACAATGGATTCCCAAGTCATCGTTGTTGGAGGAGGGTTAAGCGGTTAGTTTATCATTCTTTCAGTATATTTTGTACATAGTTTGGCTTAATAATGCTTGATAAATTTGTATTTAATTTTGCTTTATACCTGGGCCTTAGCAAGTTAATTTTGAAAACATATAGTTTCCTTCTTTTCTCGTATCTTTATGTATATCATTTATAAATTTAAAAAATTTTAAAGTTATAAAATTTTAATTCTTAAAATTTAAATAGTATTTTTCAATTATAACTAATGTAAAAAAGAGAAGATGTTATTAATTTGAAGTTAATCTATTCAATCATAAATTTATTTATTTTATCGCGAAAATAATTAAGCTGATGAAATTTTTTACCAAAGATGAGTTTTGTATTTAATTTTATAAACAGCTAGACAAATGTAGTTGAAGAGTTAAAAAAAATATGTTAGTGAAATTTTTAAGCAGAATTTATTTTTCTTTAATTTTATGAACAACTAGATAAGTACGGCAAGTGAAACCACCCCCTACCATATATTTTAAGAAAAATATTTTTAGCACAAATAAGTTCTTTTTATTCCAATGGAATTATAAAATTATGCATATAATAATTTTTGAAACATACATTTTAGGAATTTTATTTATATTTTTTTCACATAGTTTATATTTAGAACACTTAAAATCTGATTTCATTTGTCTGCAAAAATTCTTTACCTATATTATTTTCAGAAATTCATTTTATTAGTTTTACATAGAGGAAACATTTACATATAGTAATTTATTTATCAGAAAATTCAATAAATTGCAAAATAAAATTTTTTGTAATTAAACTTGATTACTCGGTAAATATGAAATCAAATTTTACTATTTTATTGAGATTTTTTAAGCTTACTATGTTATGCATTCATTTCGTACAATAGTAGTATTTTTCCTGTCTTTTTAAAATACAATTTATTGCAAATAAAGCAACAATGGTATGAATGACAATTTTGTTACATGGTATTTCTTTATAATTTTTATAATTTCCTATTATTACAAGTGTATTAAATTAATCTGCAGGATTAAGCAAATTAATTCTAAATTGTTTTCATATTAAACAAATTAATTCTAAATTGTTTACATTTATTTTATAGATAAAATACTTACATTCAATAATTCGCATATCAAATCGTTCAATAANCTGCAGTATTAAACAAATTAATTCTAAATTGTTTTCCTATTAAACAAATTAATTCTAAATTGTTTTCCTATTAAACAAATTAATTCTAAATTGTTTACATTAATTTTATAGATAAAATATTTACATTTAATAATTCGCATATCAAATCGTTCAATAAATTTTAAAATACAGTTTGCTGTATGTAAAATTTAATCCCCTTTTTAAACCCTTTTTTAAAACTTAAAACTTTTAAACTTAATCCCTTAATCCTTTTTTTTAACTCCCTTTAATCCTTAAAACTTAATCCCATTAAATTTTTCTTAATGAATATTATTTTAATGTGTTATGATTATTACTTTTTCATGAATTTCGTACGATAATGTGTTGTATTTTTCATACATGCTAAAATTATATTTTAGTGCTGTTAAAGTTACTATGGTACGAATTAGAGCTTAATTTTACTTTGCTTTTTACAATTTAGTCCTAGTAAGGAATCTAAGCAGTTAATGCAGTTAAGTAGTTTTTTTCTTTGAAGGTAAAAATCACATAAAATTTATCAGCACCAAATTTTGATTCTTATTTTAGTAGAGCTATCTTCATTCACGTAATGTAGAAAATATGTCTCTATACTTTATTCAAATATATTTTATTCCAGCTGCGTCAATAACGCTGATAATAACATTTGAATGTTTGATGTTTGGATGTAAAATTAAATTATATTTTGAAGTTATATGGATTTTGTGATTTAGAAACATATAATAAACGTATAAGAGCACACGCAATTGGAAAATAAATGATAGAAAAATATAGCATCTGATGCAATGTAGATATTGTATGCGTAAATAACTAAATAAGTTGAAAAGCCGTTAATGTGCCCACAGTGTCAATAATATTCATAATTATATTTTAATATCTTGGTGTTTGATTACGAAGCTTAGTTATATTCTGAAGTAATGTTGATGTTTTGATCTAGAGACATATAACGCGATAGACGTATAAAAACGTATAAGCGCAAACGTAATTGGAAATGAAATGATGAAAAAATATAGTATCAAATATAAACATAGTCACGCGTAAATAACAACTAAATTTTGAAACCCCTTCATGTTCCCACAGTGTCAATAATATTCATAAGTATAGTTGAATATAATGATGCTTGGATACGAAGCTTACTTATAATATGAAGTTACGTTGACTTTTTATCCTCGAAACAATACGACGATGTAAGTACAAACGTAATTAGAAACGAAATGACGGAAAAATATAGTATCTAATGTAAACCTATTACACGCGTAAATGATTGCTAAAGTTTCAAAATCCTTATAATAAATAAGAATAACCCATTAATAGAACAATTCTAGCTTTTAATGGATAATCTATTTCGCATGGATACATTAATTTTTATATAATTACAAACGAAAATCATCTCTGCTAAGGAATTCAAACAACGGTTTAAATGTTTACGATCTCTCTAGCATTATTTTATGAAATAAAATGTGAAAATCATCTGTGTTTAAATTACCAGAATGGCCCAGAAAAAATAAATATAAAAAGCCACTAAAACTCGAAAAATCATGCTTCCACAAATAGGAGCAACAGTGTCCCGTCCTGACCCTAATGCGACAAGAGACTCATTTTTATGTGATCATTATTGCAGGTAAGACAGGCAGCAACTCGTCTATGATGTACAATTTAATACTTTGAGCAATACTGTCTAAGTCAACGAAGTTACTATAAAACAATTTGCATTATTTTTTTTTCAAAAGACGGGAGAGATAAGAATCGATAAAATATGGTAAATGTTCCTTTGAGCTTTGACCATCTCAACTTCATTACAGTCGGGGTATTTTTGTTGCTTTTCTTTTGGGTACTTTAAAATTAAATGTCTAATCTCATATCACTTTTATACACTGCAAGAATTCATATTAAATTACGGTAAAACAATCAGCACCAGCATGTCCATCCATTTGACTGTAAAACTTACGGCAAAGAACATTTTTTACATTACCTTATCATATATTCATACTTTTCAAACCGTATTAGTTGTAAACGGTTACAAAACCGTAAGGTTTTGAAACCATTTACAACAAATATGGTTATAAAACTATGAATACAAAACTTACCGGTGTTTTAACCATTTATAACTAACATGGTTTCAAAACCTTTACTGCACATTGGAGTTAGGCTTTTTGTTAGGTGATGGGCATTGCAGAATACAGGTCACAAATTGGGGAGAGCAAGACGTTTTAGACTCTTCATGTGTTGAATGGAATAGAGGTAATTGTGGTATCACGCCGGGACTCAAACCCCCGTTCTCTCGGTCACGAGACTGACAGATTAGCCCTCTCGACTATATATAGAAAGCTGTGGGAACTGAGTTGCTTTATTAGATGAGATTAGTTGATGCGATAAAATTCTGGTTATTTAACCGAATTAAACGAAAGCAGTTAATAAGTAATTTTTCTCACAGTTAAAGGATTAATTACCATCCTTTTTATGGTTATTTGACTGTATCGTTTGAAAATGATGAAATAACAATTAAAAAGAAATAATTAACAATTTTTTCCGAGAAATTTCTAACAGTGTAAATGTCGTAAGTGAAAAGATTTCATTCTAGGTCCAAATGACTAAGAAAGTTGAACATTGTTACAGATGGAATCAATATTTGTCTGAAGCTAGAGTATCCTTAAATGGGTCTTGCGGACTGCTTTGAAAATCAGAAAATTTTTATTAAAATTTGCTGCGTCAAAAATAGGCACGAGTACGTAAGAGACGTCGGATTTTAATTTGAAACAAATTGACTGAAATCGAACAACGCAGAAAAATTTGTCTAAAGTTTGTGGTAGCAATTTTGTCTAAAGCTTGCAAATTTTGTCAAGTGATTCTTTTGATTTGAGTATCCCTAAGCTATAAATAAAACTTGATGCCCTATCATTTAGCGAGCACTGAAAAAAGATATGGTCAAAACAATCAGAATATGGTAATACAGAATACGTAATTATGGGTCTATGGGAACACCAAAAAACTCAGTAATTTCTACCGAAGAGGTTTAGTACTGTTGGTTGAATTTACACCAAAATATGGATTTTTTAATAAGTGATTAAATTTTGCAAATGTGGTAAAATTTGGTAATTTTATTATGATGTCTTAGAGCATTGCACAAAAACCATTTTTTGGTTACATTTACTTTTCTGTTTTGTATATTTTTTACAAAATGTGTGGTAATAACTATAAATTTAAAAAGCAATATTTCTGGAAAAGCGATACCATATGAACGAAAAATTATCAAAACAATGAATAAATACTGTATGTTTTGGTTCCTATTATCAGAATTAAGTTTTGTTTATAGCAAAAATATCATTAACAAACGGTACTGTAATTTTACCAGAATTTTTTCTCTCCTTGTGTAGAATTAAAAGATGTTGGATTTTAATTTAAGGTAAAATGACTGAACTAAATGAAGTTCTTGACTTTTGGTCAAAAATTAATGGGTCATCAATTAACATATTATGCTCTATTGATTAGTAATGTTTGGCATAAAATTAAGATAATAGGGATAAATTTATTAATTGAAATTTCATGCAATTATGTAATTGTGTCACTTAAAATGCAATTGATGCAATTGTGACACTTAAAAATTAAAAATATTATTTTTTTGTATAATCTGTTTCTTAAAAATTAGGTATAATTTTTCTCTTCCTTTTAGGATTAAGTGCTGCTAAATGGTTAAAGGAATCAGGAGTCAATGTTATTCTCCTGGAAGCGAGAGATCGAGTTGGAGGCCGAACATTAACAAAATTTGTAAATAGTTTTCAAGTTTTTAGTACCATAAAATAAACGTACTTGTTCAATTGGGTACTTCAATTATTTCAATATCATGTTCTAGGTGATAATTTGTTCTCTCAGAAATCTGCGTAATAAAAGTAGTTATTGCGTGTGAATGAGAACATGTTAAGAAAAAAAAGAGGTTGTTAGCAAAAGCGCAACTAATATCTCGTTAAAGTGTGACTAACGAAATTTAAATTTTAAATTAGTAGAACTCTGAGAAAATTTTGTCGGAAAATATAAATTATTGATTAGCAGAAGACTCACATGCCTGCATAAAGCTTTATGAATTCCAAAAAATCCTAATTATTTTTACTTTTTAATTAGAAATCTGTTAAATTAGGAGGATATTAAAAGTTGTTAAATAATTTAACAGGTTAGTCTAAGAATATTATCAATACCCCGTCATAAGTTCATCCAAAAATGGAAAGATTACCAGTACGAAGTTTATACAGTTTAGTCAGAGAATATGATCAGACAAATATACCAATAACCAGATCCATTACCAGATGGGTAACCAGAAAATAAAATTTTTTATGCTCCATTTAAAGTCCTGATGCGTCAACTTTATACATTCTCTTCATTTTTTGCCACAGGCTATGGTTAAATAAGTTAAAAGCTGTTGTTAAACCATGTGAGGTAATATGATTAATAATTTGATTAAAATAAAGCATATATATAAATAAGTTAAATATTATGATTATATACCAATAACCATATAAAAAATAGCAAGCATTAGTTGAATAGTGATGCAACTTCACTTTTGTTTATTTTGAGATACTGACACTTAAAGTTCAATGATATGAATGATATGGGTGTATGCTAGTTTTTAAATAAAATCGAAATAACTTGAATAAACATGAAATAGTTGTTCATTTTTAAATAAATATTTTAATATATATTTTCTAATATATATAGTTAATAATATATTTTTAAATAAACAATTTTTAAATCAAGGGGAGTTGTGCCACTATTAAAAGAGTGCCTTCATATGTTAGCGTGATATAAATATTTATCTATTTTTTTTAAAATCAAATTATCAATAAGAGAACGCGATACTAATTGTGAAATAGTTCATGACCACCATAAATTAAAAATTTAAAGTATAAAAAATGAGTTCAGATAAATCATGTTTAAACTAAGAGCTTACAAACACCGAAACTTTTTTTTTCAAAATAATAATTTGCAAACTAATTATGACAGGATTTATTTTTTCCTCCTATGAGTGTCATGGGAGCCCAATTTTTGAGGGTTTGAAATAAAATTGCACAGTTATAATAGTTCTCTAAATTTCATGCACAAGTAAAAAAAAAATTTGAATGTGGTAAATACCTGCAAAAGGAATGATTATTTTACTTTTATCTCTTTCATATTTTTAGTTTTAAGAAACTTAAATCGATGATTATTCAGGAAAATTTAGTTTATTGGTCTGAAATATTTAGGACTCTTAGAGATTTCTAATTATTGAGGGTGAAATATAACTGCCATCCCTCAGAGCAAACGTAACCTCCCATGTCATTTTTATAATAGCAGCTAATCGTGCCATAATTTGTTTTCAATTTCATATTTTGAAACAAAATTAGCAGTTGAAACTTTACAGTTTATTCTAGGCTTATCTGAACATATTTTTTATATTTTTAATTTGAAATCATTACTGTGTTTCGAAAAATAATATATCATTGATTCGCCTGCGCTATAGTGACTTTTTAAGAATTTCGAGTGGCAATTTGTTTCCTAACGTAGAATTAAATCTAAATATTTTTTTTTCACAAGACTTCACCTACATATTTGATTATTTACTCCCGTTTTATCTTTTCAGGATCCAAAAGTTGATTATGTGGATATGGGAGGAGCATATGTTGGACCTACTCAAAATCGATTACTAAGAATGGCGAAAGAATTCGGGATAGAAAACTATAAAGTCAATGAAAAAGAAGATTTACTGCATTACAGCAATGTGAGTTTTTCTTCGTTGATAATGAAACAGGCAATCTAATTTGAATGTTTTACAGATAAAAATAGAGAATCAAAGTTATTGCGTTTTTTCAGCATTTTGAATTTTTTTTTGTATCAGGTAAATAATGTGAAACGCTTGAACTTCCAGAGGAAACTACTACTGATCCAGAAACTTAAAAACTGTAGTTTTTAAAAAAAAAATTATTTTATTAACTAGGGGGAGCAGCCGTAATCGCGGCGCTCACCAACTCCTGGAACAGCTATCGCTGTAATTTTCAGCTTGATTTACTATTCGAACTCGCTCTAGCCGGCCAGGTGACCGAGCGGTTAGCGTGCCTGACTGCTAAGCCATAGGCTACGGGTTCGAATCCCGTTTTGGGCATGGATGTTCCTCTCTCTCTTTGTGCTGTTCTCTGTTGTGTGTGTATGATGTGTGAATGTGGCCCACCCTATAAACGGGTTTGTGGCAGTGTGGCGTGGGCAATGTTGCTCGACTCCGTGACTTTTGTTCACAGGTGCCCACTGGGTAACGCGAAATGAGCAACAATTTTGGCATAGTATAGGCAAAAAGATTCAAATTCAGCGCCTGCCATTGGAAAAAAAAAGTCGCTCTCTTCGCCAATTCGACACTAAGCCAGTTTAGTCAGCCTTTGTTTAAATTCAGGAATTCTATTTCAATGAAAATTTTAAGAATACGCAATATATAATTCATAATTTACGATTTTAAAGTATAGAAGTATTCTTACACGAATCAGTTAAATGAGTAAAAGGAGAAAGAAAGGAGCTATGACACTAAAAGTAAAGGTAAGGATTTAAAGAATCACTCCCCCCTCGATTCAGGATATTCGGAATTTCAAATTTCTCATCACCGTGATAGACCCATAGGAGAAGAGTCGCAGGCTCTTATTCGTTGGTTATATTTAAATTATCACAAAAAGTTGCTTCTATGGAATCCTACATATATAATGATTAATTATCTATAATTTCTTATATAGCAGTTACAATCTTTTCTGTGCCGGGATATCCTGGTCGGTAGGGCTGGGGCTTATGTCCGAGAGTTCATGGGTTCGAACCCCACCGGCCGAAGACCCTCCGCGTTGTAAATGGTGATTGATGCGCGTTTAATCTGTCGGGTCGTAAAGTCATCCATGTTCCCATAACAAATCAATACCTCTGGGGGTGCTGGATTGGAGATCGATCGTTCTCTGATTCAGGTCAAAATTACGATCTGTGGATGAATGAATGTATGCATGAATGGGTCTGCCCTATAAACGGGTGTGACGTATGGGTGTGGCAGAAGTCGAATTCTTCGCCATAGATGGCGCCACTAGAAGACAAGAACAATCGCACCCCTCTGCCTAAAACAGGCATACAAAAACAACAACTACAACAATCTTTTCTTTACTTCTTTAATAGTTTTATTTTTTTTAATGGCATTCTCTCATTGTTAACATTATTGAAACTTTTTTTTTATTCTTGTTTCCAAGTTGGTTAGATTTTTATTATAACAAAAAGTTACTATTTTGTTATTCTATATACATAATGCAATTTAAAAATCACTATCTTTTTATTTTACTTTCAGGGTAAACGAACTCTTTTTAAACCATGCAGTTTTCCAATACTGAGAAACCCTTTTGTTAACATGGATATCAATAATATATTTTATTTAACAGACAAAATGGGTGAAGAAGTAAGTAAAACTTTTAAAGTTCTATCTATTATTCAAACATCCAAAGCAAACGCTCGTGTAGAAATACAAATACAAATTATAAAGGATAAAATAATACATCAATTGGAACAAACATTTGTAGTGGGAAAACTTTTCAATATTGTACTCTTTAGTTTTCAAGAAAGGAAGCAAATTTAAAATCATAACATATGTGTATTTAGTTAAAGTTTTAATATGTGATGAGTTGTTTTAAGTTGTTTATTGCCATTATATAATAGTATAATTTTTCCCGATACTTAGTGGAATTCTTCTCTTGTTCGCTTCGCTCATCAACCCCCATGGTTGTTTCTTCTTAAAATGTCGATAATTTTTAGGCAAAACAAATTTTTGTAAATGAAGTGCAGCTAAGAAAATTTTGTCATGAAAATGAATTCATTATGCTATGAACATTTTGTTAATGGAAAATATTTAATTTAATGGACGAAAAAAAAATTGTAAAGGAAAAAAAACTTATTTTTGTAACGTTTTTATCACATTTGATTTGGCTGACAGATAGTTCGATGCATTTTTCAAACATCGAAAGTGAACGTTCGTGTCTTAGAAATACTGATAAAAATTATAAAGGATAAAACAATGCATCAAGTGGAACAAACACTTGTCTCAAGGAAACTTTTCAATATCATTCTCTTTGCTTTTTAAATAAAGAAACAAATGTAGTATCATATTATATGTGTATTTAGTTGAAGTTTTAATTTATCATTTTGAGTTGTTTAAGTTATTTATTGCCTTTATATAATTAATTTTATGTAATTTTAATTAAATTAATGTAATTAAGAATTAATATAATTTTTTCAGATGCTTGGTAGTATTCGCGTCCTGTTTATTGTACCCCATGATTGCTTTTAGCATTCATCATTGTTTCTTAAAAATCTCGATGTCTTTCAAGAAAAGCAATTTTTTTTAAAAAGATTAAGTATAACAAAGGAAATTTGGTCATAAAATATATTTATAAATTGAAGAACATTTAATTAAAAAACATTTATCAAACAAAGAACATTTTATACAAAAATAAAAAATATCTTTAAATCACTGTTTCCTAAAATCTTGATATTTTTCAGCGAAAATTTTTTTTTAAAATTAAGAGTACTTAAGAAAATTCGGTCACAAAAATATCGTTATAAAGTAATGAACATTTAACTAAAAGTTTTTATTAAAGAAAGAACATTTTGTAAAAAAAAAAATTTCTTTACATCACTTTTCACATATTTGAGTTTGTCGGAGGATAACAGATGAAATGACATTTTTTAAACTATTTTCTATCAAAATGGACAGTACGCAGAAAAAAAAGAAAAAGAAATGAACGGTCGACCGTGAATAAGTTTCACATTACCAATCAGATCTTCACGTTATATGATTCAAAAACGTACTATCTCCGAAGTAGCATACCTCTTTTTGACAGATTCGGATTTTTAACCTCTTAAGTATACTTTACTGGTTAGAAAAGTGCTCCACAATGTTAAGCGTATTGTTTTGCGTATTTCGCTATATCTTAAGAACTTTTTAAGCGAATCGAAATTCTTTTTTTGTGTACAATTGCAAAATTTGTTTTTTTGGATAAACAAATTTTACCATTGTAAGCAAAAAGTAGATAATTCTCTAAAAAAAGTAACTTTCAGTATATTTTATTATTTTGATAATGTTTTGTAATTTTATTTAATAACGGTAGAAAAAAATTGCATTGCAATGTAAACAAGTTTTGCATCATTTTAAAGACTAATTTTACTTGGTAAAATATAAAATTTAAGCTTAATCGGTCAAATAGTTCCTGAGAATTCGAATTTTAAAAATACGACTTCCTTAATATTCCCGAAATAATATTTTTTGAATTGATTAATCTTTGGATAAATGAATTTTAATTTCGTGAAATTTTTTTTTTAATTTGCTTAACGAGATGGGGGGAAATATGCAAAAAATAAAATTAACATTAATTAATATTAATTAAAGTTAACATTAAAATCCAAAATTTGGACTACTTTACTGACTAATCTAATTAAAAAAATCTTTATCTTTAGATGCAAAACTACTTTGCAATTGGAAATGCACACCCCAATTAGGCAATATGAAGTATTTGTACAAATGCAATAAAAGATTTGTTCCCCAGTGTAGTTTAGGACGGAAATTGATAGATAACATGTTTTTCCCTACTGGTTTTCAATTGCAATAGGTATTTTGTAAGTGTCAAAATATTTATTGTCTGATCTGTAAAAGCATTATTATAAAACAAAAAACTTATTTTTTGCTTAAAAATGAGGTTTTTAATAATCTTTCTAAATATTTAATTATTTACTAGAAATTTTATTTTCGATACTTTTGATTTTAAAACATACCAATACCAAATCATATACTTTCTAATGCCAATTCAAACAGTTTATTTTTGGATAAATGAGTTAAAAATAACAAATGGGATAAAGCTTAACAATGTTACGGCAACTCTTACTTTTTTTGTATTCAATTTCAACCGGAAAGAGATCATATAAAATAAAAATATCGAGAGTATTTTCTTTTTTCTCTTCCAAACATTGGATATATACAGTGATTGTTTGAAGCGAAAAAAAAATTAACAAAACGCTTTTAAAGAAGTAATGAAAATTAAATAAATTGCAGTCAGTAAAAAAAATTCTTATGTTGTGTCCACAAATTTCAACTTTGTATTTCTGTGGGCTGCAGAGTAATTATTGAAGGTTAAAAGAAATTTCTCGTACTCTTTGTGCATGTTTTTTCTATATCTCCACATTTTCAAATTTCTAAGTCTTATATCTTTTGCGAAGTTATCAAAATGTCACGTAAAGTTTAACACCTGAAACAGCTACGAATTTCATAACTTTTTCAGCACTGAGTGTCATTTAAAATCATAGTTTATAAATCCCCCTCACAGATTCCTGCTGAAGTACCATGGAATGCTCCCCATGCAGAGGAATGGGATACAAAAACATACAAAGCCTGGCTCCAGGAAACTTGTTGGACTAAGTATTGACAATTTTTTAAATTGACGTTTTAAAATTATTTTTATAGTTTTACTGTTTCCTTGAAGATGGGGCATCATAAAATTTCCAGTTGGTAAAATATTAATAACAATAAAATAAAACACAAAGCATACTCTTTTTTTTAATATTCACATTTTCATGTAGAATAAAAAATGTATAGAATTTGAGATTCTGAGTGGTATATTTAGGAAACTATTCAGTATGATTAAAAATTAAAGTGAACTTTAACGAAATAAATGCAAGGTTCGTTTCTCTACCAATATGTGGAAGACATCAAATTCCACGGCAACGACATTTTTAAAGTCGGTTTGATCTTAAAATGTCTTAAAGAGGGGAACGTTTTCGTAAAAGCTTTTTCCATTTCAATATGCTGAGTTCACATTGCCTAAAAAATGTATGTTCATTTAAAGAAAAGCATTATTGTACCTAATTATAAATTTAGATGCGAGTTTTTATAGTTATTGAATTTAGGGGAACCGTGTTCGAATCCCAGCGATGGTCGATACGAATCCGTATCCGAATTGCACCGATCACAGTGCTGACGTGAAACGTCCTCAGTGGTAAACGGATCCCTGGTTATAGTCCCTTTGATGTCGGGCTAAACTTTGGAGGTTCTCGTGGTCTTCCTCTCCATGCAACGCAAATGCAGGTTAGTTCTATCAAAAAGTCTTTCACGAAAGCAAATTTCTCCCAATACTTGATCCAGATCCCTTGTCTTCTGGATTGGGTTAAAAATTACAAGGCTACGAAGTTGAACAGTAATAGTCGTAAGCCCAAAAAATTGGACCGGCTGATCAACGACTGTTATGAAATAAAATAAAATTAATGTGTTTAAATTGGATCCAAGCAATGGACATTTAAACATGCTACGTGAGTATTGTGTCATTAAATGAAAAGTTTCTTAAAGGTTACTTCCGCACAGTGCTAATTACTCGATGTTCATTTACTAATGCATACAAAGCTCCAAGCTTATAGGTCATCTTTAAATTTTAATGTTAGTGTATTATTATAAAGTTATCGATTTATTTTTTAAATCTATTTTTTAAAAAATTAAATAATTTGTAAAAACTAAACTTATTTTTAAAAAATTTAGAAAATTACAAACCAAATTAAAATCAAAATCAAAAAGTACATAAAATAATTTTCTAAGTCATAAAAAAAGAAGAGAAAAAGCATAAAATGTATTTATGAATCTTAAAAAATAATAAACAAATTAACAAAATAATGTATAAAATAAAATTACAAAATATTACAAAAGAAATCTATAAAAAATTATGGCATAAATCTGCCTAAATTATATAAATAATTTATAAATATTCATAGAAAAAATTTACAAAAAATTATAAAATAAATCCACGAAAAATTGATAAAAAATAATAAAATAAATTTACCAGAAACTTAATTAAATAAATTTATAAAAAAATATAAAAATGTTTGTATGAAATGTTACAAAAAATTTAAAATCCGCAAAAAATTTTAAATAAATCTGTAAAAAAATTTTAAACTAAGTCTATGAAAAAAAAATTAAAGCAAATTTACAAAAAAATAATTAAATAAATTTACAAAATATTATAAAATATACAAAAAATTCAAAAAAAAAAATCGCTTTTTATTTTTAGCCAAATTTGAATGATTAACTAAATTATATTATTCGTAACAGGGGATCTTTAGAATTCTTCAATCACATCATGAATGAATTGATTACTTCTGAGCACTACGAAGCTTCTCTATTAGGCTTCCTTTGGTATATAAAACAATGTGGAGGAAGCAAGAGAATCCTTTCTACTACAAATGGTGGACAGGTTGGTTTAACAATTCTTGTATTTTTCGAGTTCTGTAGAATAATATTCAATATTGAAATAAATTTGCTTTAAGCAAGGAAATTTTATTTTTGTGATATACACTGTTAGAATTTTCATTCTAAAACTATGTTGAAATAACCGGCAGCAGTCCATCCCATGCAATTAACCGTAATGCAATTAACCGTAATCCCATGCAATTAACAAATCCCATGCAATTAACCATGCAATTTTGAAAGTAAGTGTACGGTAAAGAATATTTTTTACCTTTACTGTTCTAACACCGTTTACAACTAATAAGAATAAAACCGTGAATACAAACGTTAATTTTACCATTTACAGCTAGCATGGTTTCAAGACTGTAAAAAAGGGAATTTAACTGGACATTGGTGATAGTTTAGCAGCTTTATGGTGCTGCCATTTATAAGTGGTTGAGGGTATCGTATTCTAAAAGCTCAGAGTCACAAAAGGCGAGTGCAGGATACCGAGAACTCGTCAAATAGTAGAGGAAAAGGTGGATTATTGTGGAGTCAAAGCTGGGACTCGGACTCCCTTCTGTGAGTCATTAGATTAGCCCTCTCGGCTAATCTAATGACTCACAATCTATGCACTCTCCTGCAGAAAACTAAGTGGCTTCATTAGGTGAGTCTAGTTGGCGCGATAAAATTCTGGCTGTTTAGCTGTATTAGGTGATGGCAGTTAATAAACGGTTTTTCTCACAACTTGAATATCATCTTATTTATGCTTATTTGACTGTTTTGTTTAAATATGGTAAAATAAAAATTAAAATAAAATGTTATTGACCCATTTTTTCAAAAAAACTTCTAAATGTGTATAAACAAGTACATGATGTTGATAGGAAAGCATGGAATGTTTCAAAACCTATACTTTTCAGGCAATTTTTTTAATTTTTCTGTTTTATTTGTAAACGCTTTCTACTTTATATTTCTGCTTTAATTTTTGAAAACAAATTCATCATAGAAATTAGTTTGGTTCAGACATTGAAATTTTAATTTTTTGACATTTAAACTAGACGTACCGCAAAATATAAGAAGGTATTAAACATGAAGGGAACTATCTTTTTCACATTTAAATACTAATTAAAGAAATAACCTAACATTACAAATTGAAACTTTTCTTTCCTGATCTCTAAACTATTGTAGCGTATAGTGTGTGAAACACTATTTCTCTCTATTAAAAATTTAAGTAACATTAATAGTGAAAATTTAATTTCTAGCTAGTTAAAATAGTGCAAGTGTTTTAGGGAAACATGAGAAGTTTGATAAACTTTATCTTTTTCATATTTATACATTAATTATTGTATAATATCAAATATTACAATTATTTGCTTTAAATATTGAAATTTTACTTTTAAGATTTTAAATCCATTTTATTGTGTTGTAGGGAAAACAAGGGATCTCTGGCAATATCCATTTTTTTTTCATTATTGAGCATTAATTATTGAATGAAATTTTGAATTTTGAAACTAATTAGTCTTATGCATTGAATTAAGTGCGTAGAATAGAATGAAAAAGCAGGAGAAGTTTGAAAAAGTCCATTTTTCTCATATTTAAACATTTATTTAGTGCCGACCAGCCTGTGCAGGGGTCAGGAAATTGGCCTTGCAATGGAAAGGTGGTTCTAGGTTTCGAATCCCGGGCAAGACATGGATGTCCTTTTATTCTCTGTACTATCTGTCCTTACTGTGGGAGCAACGTTGGCCCACCTAATATGGTGCCCCTGGAAAAGTGGCCAACAAATCTGCCCTTCAGATGCTTGTTTGATGTAGGTCGTTCTCCAGGCAGGCAAAATTGTATTAAAAAAAGCCCATTTATTTAGCTGATGGTCACTAGATTGCTGTTTAGTATCATACAGAATTCTGTGTTATTTTTGTTTATCATAAAATTTCCTCAAAAAACTAAAATCTAAGTTCTTTCTCCTAGAAAAGTAGCTTTTTTATGCAAATTCTTCTGCCAATAATATATTTAGAACATATTAACCTCTTCCCAGTTTTGACCAAACACCGTTGGGTCATTTGAAAAGGTGCCTTCCCTGTTTTGCTCGTGCGACTGACTTTTTTACCAATGATTTGCCCGAATTTTTTCTTTCTTTAGTTTAGAATGTTTCTAACAGATGGCTCTGGTAGTCCTGTAGCGGTATGATTGCAAAAGATTTTGACGCTTTTCTTTTACGCAGGAAAATGCGCGAATTTTGTTTTCACTGGCTCAGTAGAAAAGCCAACTTTAAGTAAAAATACAATTTTTTTTGCTCTAAATAAAAATAAAAATTGTTTCATAAAATCAATAATTGTAATAGTTTTGATTCCTGATTTGAGTTTATATAATCGATTTTAACAGAAATTTGTTTCTCAAAAATATGCTTATTTTTTGACCCAATTTGCCAGAAAAAAGACGCTGTTAAGCGGTTAATGTTAGAATTATATTGTTGAATTCTCTATGCAAATCTTTCAAAATAAAAAATAGTGTGCTTAATTTAACAACTAACACCTTTCTATCTTAACTTATTTTTAAAATTTTTTACAAGCATTTATCTCGTTAAACCGAGGTTTCATCCAGATATCTTTTTAAAAAAGAAAACTGAAAAGATTTATAACACAAGACAATTTTAAAGATACATAAAAGATTTTAAATAATAATATATAAAAATGCACAGCATATTAAAAATACCAAAAAATTAACTAAAAAGCGTGTAATAATTTTTTTTGTCGACAGTTCATTTTAATAATATAGACTAAATTCATTTAACGATTTCATTAAAAATTTCACCTTTAAGTGGATCCCCTATCATGTCACACAGAATAGTAACGTGATTGATGATAACTTGGTCAAGACTGCTTCTTCTTGAAATGTAATAACTCTAACCTCTAATGGAATCTCTATTATCCAAATGATGGATGAATTTACCTCCTAAAATCTATCACATAACCTCTGATGTTACTTTGAAAAAAGACCACGATGGTCTCATCTGCTCAATATATCTAGAAAATAACAGACAGCTTTTTCTTGATTTCTTTTAGTGGCTATACTAAAGATCTTATCTTCCAAGAGGGCCAGAAGCTCTTGTCATTGGCATGGTAGCAGAATTTTCTGAGTCAATTTGTAGCATAATCTTCATGAATTTAAATTTTTCTGCAGCAGATAATAGCGCAGTTAGACAGATACAGTAAAAATTTATCTTCATCCACTGTATCTGAAGCAAAAGAATTAAATTTTTAGCAGATTAAAAATACACAAAAAGGTTGCTAATTTTTTTTGTTTTTAATCAATATTTTTATACACTCTTAAACAAATGGAATAATTTAAATTTTAAAAAAAAGGAAAAAGTCCTTATACAGCTTATAAACAAACAATTGGAGTTTATTTTTTATGTTTTTCTTGTCTGTCAAATTCTTTAATTTTCAAAATTCCACTTAATTCAGGAATATTATTTGGAATTTTTGAAAGTCATCACTTTTTTTCTGTTTATATATCGTCGCTTTGAAACTAAACCGTGGTAACTCAAAAAAGCAAGTTTTTTAGGAGAGCGATTTCAAACTCTCCGAGCTAATGCTAATCGCGGCAATGCGATGACGATTTATCTGCTCTCTAAATTAACTTTATGGAACTATAAAGATAACGGGTTGTTTTTCTAAAAGGGTGACTTTTTTTACACAAAATGACCCAAAAATCTCTTTTTTCGACTTTTTTGAGTTACAACGGTTTAGTTTCAAAGCGACGATATCTGCAGATAGGCATACGAATTTTGTTAAGGAACTGAAACAAATAATAATTGAATACGTTTAGGAATTTTAAATAATTTTTCTTTTTTACCTCTCAGAAATATTTTTAGATTGTCTTACCTTAGATGAAAAGAGATTGTTATGTCCTATAATAATTTGTTTCTAAAATCTTAGATGAATCTTAGATAATCTGAAAATGTTAGCGCCCGTTGCTGGGATGGGTCACGGTGTTGCCGAAGAAGCCATGGTGTCCCAGAGGATATAACATTCGCCTTTCAAAGAAGTGACCCGGCTTCGAATCACAGTCATGGCTGGTAACAGTCACTCGTCTCGCACTGACCAGAGTGCTTACGCAAAATATTCTCAGTGGTAGACGGATCATGGGCTAGTGTCCCTTTGCCATCAGGATAGCCGTGGAAAGTTTTTGTGGTTTTCCCTTCCACGTAACGGAAATGCAGGTTAGTTCGACTCAAAAAGTCCTCGACGAAGGAAAAAAATTTCCTCTAATGTAGTATTCTCTTTATCCAGGAGTTCCCTTGTCGTCTGGATTGGGTTAAAAATTGCAAAATTGTAAACCCAAAATTAAGTCGGCTGCTCAAAGATGGTTATAAAATAAATATATAAATAAAATTTTACAAAACTCTATTAAATTTGTGAACTTTTTTATGGAGGTATTTAATTTTATGGGAATGGTATAGTGTGCTATAAGATCTGGGATTCGAAGCTAGCAACAACAGTTTAGATTTGTTTTTCTTTCATAAGTAAATTTAATATTTTTAGACATAATTATTGCTTGTAAAATTTAAGACATTTAATTTCTGCTGTAAAAGTTTTAGGATCTTTTCTTAGCCTAATAAGACATAAAATTTCAGTAAACATAAAGCATAAAAATTAAGGACATAAAATTTAATAATTTATTAAGAATGAGTTTGTAATTTTAATATCAGACATATTGACTGATTCAATTTTCTGTCTTAATAGGAAAGAAAATTTAAGGGAGGCTCGCAACAGATTAGTAAAAAAATAGCTGAAAAGTTAGGAGGTAATCAGTTTGTTTCAAGTTTAAGAATGCTCATTTTTCAATGTAGTTTATTATTTCTCTTATATTTCACTTGAAGACCAACTCCTTTTTTGCACAATTTCACAGTAATTACACCAGTTTATTGTCTTAAAGATGCTGTTATTGAAGAAAGTCCGGTTGTTGGAATTGATCAAAGTTCAAAAGACGTTGTGACTGTAAAAACACTGAATGGTAAAGAATACAAGGTACGCTGTTACTCTAAATTTATCTAAAATGTGAAATTTCATAAAATTTCACACAGAGAAAAAGAAATCTGGTTAAATCACTGGTTCAAAACTAAAACAACACATATGCAAGCATAATACGTTTGCATATGTGTCGTTTTAGTTTTGAACCAGCGAAATTATCATACTTTATGGTTATAGCATTTCTGGCAAAAAAACAACAACATAATTCTATTCATAAAACTAAAATATACGGTACTTAAATCATTCATTTTGTAATTTTTTTGGTTCATATAGTAACGGTTTACCGGAATTTACAATTATAATTCTTTAACCACATACGAAAAATACAGTGAAAAATACAAAATTGAAAAGTAAATTCAACCGAATAGATTATTTTTATGTCATGCTCTAAGTTATCATGATAAAAATCACTTAATTTTACAACGTTTACTAAATTTTATTATATTCTATAAAATCATATTTTATTGCTTTACCTTTACTCTTTTGTTATGATTTTACCAAAATAATCACCAAAGCGCTTCCGTAAAAAATATTAAGCTTTTTTGGTCTTCCCTTACTACCGGAAACACGAAACATTTTACCACATTTTGGTAGTTTTTACCATACCTGTTTCTCAGATAATAGCTGGGCTTTATAAAAGTACTTTCAATGAATTTTGTTTCGATGGATTTGGATGAAAAATTTGCCTCACTTCGTAACTTAATATACATCTGTACAATACAATAGCCCATTTTAAGTTAGCGCTTCTAATATAAGCACATCCAAAGTACACTTAGTACATCCAAATTCTATCTTTAGATCAAAAGTTTTTCATTAGTTTCGGTTTTTTGCGCATTGTATATATATTAATTCTCACACAATAGTTTACCATCTAATAAAAATGATGCTAAAAACATATTCAATTTGTAAAAACATATTCAATCTTATTTTAATCAAATCATTCAAATGACTTAGAAAGTTTTTTTTCTTAAACTTATAAACGCTATGTTTTTGCAATCGTTGTTTTAATTTCATTTAAATATATACTAAGCATTGAGAAAACTTTTCATATATTTTCAAATGCAATGGTGTAAGAAAGTTGCAATGCATTTTCCTTTAAATTGTGCAATTTTCTTTTTTTAATTTTAGACCAAGTATGTGATTCTTGCATTACCACCTGTACTGCAAATGAAAATTCACTACACACCAGAGTTGCCATCTTTGCGAAACCAGTTGATCCAAAGAGCTCCAATGGGATCAGTCATGAAAGTCGTCGTCTATTATTCCAAACCTTTCTGGCGCAGTGAAGGTAATGGTCGAATAAAATCTACTTTATAACTACACCACAAATTTAATTACTCCTTATTATGTAATTATACGAGGAATCCAAATAAAATAATAGCATTTTTTAATGAAAATATATGCTGAATTGGATAAAATTCCCTCAATGCAATCCTCTGCAAAGTCACGTACCAGATGTCTGGAAGCCTTATGATGCCGCTAAGTGTAGTTAATTGGAGTAAGCGATTGAGTGCCCTAGTGCTCTAATCACTAATGGTTTCTCATCTTAAGACTTTTCTTCAGTATTTGCCACACCGTTTGATAAATGTTCAAAATTTTGAGGAACAATCATCGGTTTTCTGAAAAATGTTCCCGATGTTAACGTGATGTTGAAAAATTAATGAACGTACAAATCTGCAATCTCAGTCCAACCAGCACTAACACTTTCACCCAACTTGCAACTGTCATATATCTTATGGTTTTCTGACCCAACGGATTCTGTCGACAGGTCATTCTTTCCACTTTGATAATATGGAGATCCATTTTTGCTACTGGCAATTCCCATTTTAATCCAATCGCTCGTTGATCACCTTTTGTAAATATAATTTTGGGTGTTAGAACGCCTCTGTCCGTTTCATAGGAATGTAGTAAACCGAACTCGACTAGATCGATCGCTATATGTACATTAAATTTCGACAACAGTGTCACCTCTCTTTTTCAATATCCTACTTGCGAGTTCTGTGATTTTCTGGGTTACGTTGCCGATACTTTATTTAAAACTCCCACAAGGACGCTTTGTAATTCAAAAATTTCACTGGAAATAATTTCGATAGACTACCCAGATCCTTAATTAAACATTGATAAATTTGATTGACAGATAATGTATATGATACGAGGTTTTGTATGGAATAGCATATTGGATAAATGGCTTCCTTGGCTATGTTGGCGCTTTCGCATATTTTGGCGAAATTTTCAATAAAATTTTTGTAAGAATGGTAAAATCGTTAGGCTTTTTTTAGACAGTAGGTCTTATTGTGTTTAATCACGTGATTTGTGGGTCCGATTTAGATCTTCAAAGTAGGGAATTACTTAACAATGCTTAATATACTGCTCAACAATGAAAACAAGCTGGTCCTTCATGTTGTGTTTGATTTTATTAATCCTGAAATCTCAGCTGCACTAGCGTTTTTCGATTTTGATTCATTTGGCAATATTTTGCTGCACGAGTAGCACAAAATGCATAACTTACAAAAATTTAGTACAAAATATCAAAGTTATCATCACTTTGTGAAGTTTTTTCTACTCCAACTTATCTTACTCCGCGGGAGAAAATAGATTTGCATTATGTTACAGAAATATTCCAAACGCCTCTAGAAAAATATTATTTGATGTCATAAAATTCGAATAGATGCGATAAAATCTAGTAAAAATCTGGGTATTTTTTCCGTTACCGATGGGCAGTACCTATTTCTGTTGAATTCGCGAATAATATAATCTGAATTTGAATTTTTAAAAATCTGATTTTTCCTTCAATTCTTAAAACTTAAATGATAAACCTTAATTTTTATGCATGTATATCTGATTAATAAGGTTTTTTTTTTAAATCTGGTTAATTGATACAGTTTTTAATTCTGATTCAGAAATTACAATTTTAAAAATATCATTTCCTAAAACATGATTCATATATTCTATAGTAATTACTTTTTAAGTTGTTGATGAATCAGATTGATTAATGTCAAGAATCTGATTGTTAAAAAAATCTTACTCGTAAGTTTGGTTAAGTAAATAATGTGAATATAATTTTTTTCAGTGATTAAAAGAGATTAACAAGAGATTAAAAGATATATAAATTATATTTTAAATTTCTTTCCAGGGCTTTGTGGATCATTTTCGATTGACGGTGGCCTAGATTTTCCAGTAAATTTTACGCTTGATGATACAAAACCAGATGACACTTTTCCAGCTATTATTGGGTTAATTAAGCTGTTAATACTAATAATTTACTACGCTTAAAATTAATTGTTATAGTTGTTGTTGTCGTGTTTATGCATACAGTGCTAGTGAAAAGATTAGAGTCCTCCAAAAGTCTTGATAACAAGATTTGCCCGAAGTTCTGGTGCCCGATGGCCATGGAGAATTTCGATGGGAGGTGTTCCACTTAAAATTAATTATTTTGTTTTTAAGAGTAAAAATAGGGAATATGTTCTAGCTCTCTTTGTGCCGACGTTTTAAAATTTGAATAAGTGACAGGGACAATTTTAGATACCGTTACGAAAAATCATTCAAAAATTTCAATTATTCCTTTGTTTAAATAGTGAAATTTTTGCATAGGTTAAGCATTAGGTCAATTATGGAGTTAATTTCGTTCGGTCATTTTGCATTATACCCCATACAGCAAATTTCGTCCTAAAGACATCCCAAAACATTCCGAACACTCCAGGAACAGTCATATCCGTAGAGTGTCAGAAGAAAGAATTTCGTAGGNCTACTCGCCAGGTTGGAATTGTATTAGTCTAGTTCCTTTGGAAATAATTTATATTGTTGTTTTACCGAAGTTTATGAATTTAGTAAGCATATTTAAAACTCAGTTTATTAATTAAACTAAAAGGTAAATGTTATTCCTAGTAAGTGGAAGTAGTTGTGCTTTTTTCATATTATACCCAATTGCAGGCAATTTTTCTTTTCAACGATTTGAAAGATGGCGTCGGTGATGTTAGCTAGCTTATAGCTCTTTTTAAAGAAAAACGTAGTTTATTTCTCGTTCTTTAAAAAATAATACGGTACCTGTAAGTGACGTCGCCGTAGGAAAATCATGACATTTGTCGACTCAGAAGCCAATCACGTTCGACATGTGACTTCGCTTACAGATATCCAATTAAATCTGATTCACATCACATGATTAATAATAATCACTTCACTTCTTCTTGAGTTGTAAGTGCCCAATTATTTTAATTCGTTTTGACAGATAAGTTCAGAAATCGACGTGAAAGGCATGTGAGGGCTGCGTCATTATCATAAACTGGCCGCGGACAATGGCATCAAGCTTAAGAATACTTAACATAGTATATCTTTATTTTGATGAGTTGAGCTTCTGAAGACGGGTTTTGCGTAACTAAATGTTACAGGAAACGGCAACAAATATTAATAAAAGTTAATTGATGATAATTAATTCAACACAGTTTTTCAAATCTATTTTAAGAATCGAAGTTAATTAAGGCCATATTAGAATACCTGAAAAAAATATTTTAGCCGAAATAATAAAAATAATAGTTATTAAAGCTTGAAAAATAGTTAGTAATAATTTATTTGAAATTTATTTAGCAATCATTTACCTAAAAAATCCTTAAAGAGATTTTGAAACACGTTGATGCTGTTGCCCACGCTTTTTAATCTAGCATCTTATTATGCTAAATGTTCTTTTTTTATATATGGGATTACTATCTTACTTTTAAAATCTGTTTTGTATTTTCTTAGGTTTATTTGTTCAGATAAGCTTCGTCGTTTGTGTCAACTAAGTGTGGAAGAAAGAAAAATTATGGTAGCTAAGAGCTTCGCTGAAGTAACAGGTCTTCAAGAGTTTCTTGAAGTAAATATTTAATATATTAATGAGATTTTATGTGTTGTTTTGCTTGAAAAAGTTTTTAAAAAATCGAAAGCTTTCACTTTTTTTATGAAAATAGTTCTTTGAAACTTGTATGAAATACTGTATTATATACTTAATTTTTTTATTAAATATCCCATTTGAGATATTTTAAAACTGAAACCAATATTCATTTTTATTCACATTTTAAAACGACTTGGTGTCAAACATAATATTCGGCCACGTAAAATGTCGATAAGTTTAATAGAATCATAATACAGTAAGGATAACAGCACCGTTATTCAAAATTTGAAATTCAGGTGCGAGAAATTACTAAGCATAGATTTGTGAGTTCACATTAGAACATTTGAAGTGAATGTAAAGTCGAGCTAAAATGGATGCATTAAAAATACATTAACACAAAGTATTGTGTCAGAATATGATTGCATCTCTATCCGTGTCAGCTCATAGAAAATCATCCCATTCGTTTACCTTGTGCCTTGGCAAAACCAGTATTGATGTAGGTCTTCCAGGAAAACTTTTATGCTCAATGTTGGCAATTGTTTGTGTTATACAGAGTTTGCCATTAGCAGCAAATATTTTAAGATATATGTTCAGGTTACACTCGCCTTCTAAATACTAAAATTGTACTAACATGCGTTATTCTGTTCTAGAGTTATTCATCTTCGTATGACTTTACATCAACTTTAAATGCTCTCATGCGAACTGTTTTATGAGTTGTTCGCAACACATTCTACAGTGAACTCTTCTTACCTTGATTTATAATCCTTATAATCTGGAAAGATGGCGCTGCTATCGCTACTCCACTCGAAACACTAACACATATGCCAACTTTTCCTTTTTACAACATTCCTACAAAATTATACTTAGTTGTAATATAATTCAATGTTCTAAATGCTTAAGAAATGTTGTCACATTTTTCAAAAAACTCTGATATAAAGTTAATATTAAGATAAAAAAACAATGCTTTACATTTATTTTCTCGCTTCTTTCACCTTCGTCAAACAGTGAACGATGAGAAGACATGGTTCATAGTAGACTTCCGAAGTCAAGCACCACTGGTTGCTGTCAGTGAGCAGGTGGGTGACCACTTTAATTAGCCAATGAAGGGACTGAGGTATCGGTTCTTGTTAAAATGTTCTACCATAAAGTGCACGACTTCGAGAGCAGATGTTTAAGATACCAAAGGGTGGTGGAAAGCCATTTCCTCTGAAGAGAATGAAAATTTAAATCGCAATTTTTCGGATCATCCTCAGGGATATTTCTCAGACAGTCGTCAACTGCCCATTATGTAGCTCTAGTGAGACGTAAATAAAAGTGCTACTGCTACTTCTACTTTTTCGTCTTCTTGCTTATACGATATATACATGAATAAAAAAGAGACAAAAATATTCCTATTTATGGTGGGAATTTATACTTTCCAGAACACTATTACATTTGTTTTTTTTTTATATGAAATGAATGATTCAAAAGGTAGTTAACACTTAATACCATGGCTATAAGTCGGGATGGCTTATGAGATAAAGTAGCCGTTCAATTGACAACAGAAACTGGTTGATTCGTATATTTCTTTTCTTCATCACGAAATACAGAACTGATTTAAAATGTTCTTAGTATCATCAATTGCCGGGTAATCCGATTCTCGTCATCAGAAGAGATTGCCTTGTCCAATGTTACTTAGTTTCGCTCAGAAATTCCGATCTTTTCAAGGAGTCTCTTTTCCTTTATTCCGTTATTGGGATATAAGTTATGAGAAATTGGAGATGAGCGTTATTATCACAAATCCACTGCTTTTATCGACATCGAAGAAATAAAATTAATAATTACAATTTTCTGTAACTTCCTATAATATAGTTACAATTACATACAGTAGTTACATTAATTTATAACATAATAATAGTTTGCGTAAACTGCTATTTAAAATTACAATACAAATATTTTTTACCCATTTTCAGAGATTTAAATGTGGTCCGGATTACAATAACTAATTTTAGATAATTTTGTAAGATAAATGTATTTTTATTTAAAATTGTTGTTTATAGTTAAAATGCACAGATAAAGTGTTCAAGTGATTATTTTGCCAAAGGTTATATCTCTATGAAATATTTATTACCTTTTATTAAAAAAATTAATAATAAAAAATTAGAACAGTTAAATTTGTACAAAAGTATTAACTTTTCGTAAAGTTATGCCGTTAAAGTACTTAACGGCTTGGCTCACATATGCAATTTTAGAAATAAGTATGTTCAAAAAGTTTTTATGAAATTGTATTTTCAGCCAATTCACTATGAAGAGAAGAACTGGATGGAAGAACAATATTCTGGAGGATGTTATACAGCTATGTACCCACCGGGGTTTTTCACACGTTATGGAAGGTTAATTCTTAAAATCATAACTTGAATAAATCTATGTTAACCCGAGAAAAAAAGTATGTTTAAAACTACCAGAATATGGTAAAATTTTCCGTGTTTCTGGCTCTACAACAATAAGCTCGGTAATTTTTGCCGAAGTAGTTAGTGTTAAAATCTGTGATAAAATTTGGCAATTTTATTCTGATACAATTTTATATGAGCATGGCATGAAAACCATTTATTTGTTTAAATTTACTTTTCAGTTTTGTATTCTTGACCAAATGTTTGGCAATAACAAGTATTTTGAAAACCAGAATTTCCGGTAAGCCATTGCCATATGGGCAGAAAAATTATCGATGGATACGTATATAAATACAATATATTTAGGTTTCATTAACCAGAATCATGGTTTTTATTACCATAAATCTCATACCATGCAGTAAAAGAATTTAATTTACCAGAATTCGTTGCTCTGCGTATTGTATAGCACATTTATGAACAATTATGTTGATTTTTATAATAACTATAACATCTATTTTCACATTGGTAACAAGGAATTTATTTTTTTTGTCGATAATGTTTAACAAATTTAGAATTTTTTAGCAAAATTTAAACAAAATGTACTATATAGCTTTATGGCAATTTGAGTTTTAAACTTTAAGTGTAGGAAGTATTGTTGGAATTAAACAAAACATTTATAAAATAATTATAAAAAATACGTTTTTTGCATTGAATCCTTTTTTATTAAGTGAGTGTTTTTATTAGATACATGCAAGATCACGGTAGATCGTGTCGTTTGTTAATTCAGAATTGCGTTGTCGTTTGTTAATTGTCAATCAGGTTCGATACATGCACGTTACGTATCTTATAGGTGTCCAATTAAATCTGATTTAAAGCACATGATTAGGCATATTCAGTTCCCTTCTGCACAAGTTGCAATTAAAGAATTATGCAAATTTTTTTTTAGATCCTCTTAAATTATTCCAGAGATATAAGAAAATGAGCAAAAAGTTAAATTAAGATTAAAGGGCTTAAGCCTTCTACCGTTCACGTATCTAAACTATTCTGACAATATTTTCCAGATTGCGGTTGGTTTTTAAAGTCGAAAATAAGTAGTTAATATTTCAAAGAAATGATCACAAATTCTAAAATTGTTCTCTGATTTTATGTAATTCTTGCAGTTTTAATTTTAGAGAAAAAGTGGTCATCCCGATGCAACCCAGAATTCTTATTTTCACTAAATTAATTTAAAAACAAATTTTTGTCTTAAAATGATTTTAAAGAAATTTTTTTGAGAAAATCGATTGCTGAAATAAGCAAACGAAGCAAATATTCAGTTATAGATATCTTTTTCACCTTATATTTTCTGGAAATTAGTTTTCTTAAACTAATAATTGGAGAAATATAAATTTATCAAGAATTTTAACTAAATAACTAAAAGAATTTGTTTAAAACTTAATTTAGGAGAAACGCAAGAAAATTCATTGCAGAAGAAACTTTCTACATTTTTATAAGTAAAATAATAACGTTATATATTTTTGTCAGATGCAAATCTTGAAATTTGAGTGAAATAAAATGATTAATAATTTTTAGTATTTTATCATTTGCAATGAATTTATAACTTAATAAATGCCAAAGGAATACATAGAAATTATAAATAATATCAAAAAATAACGTAAAATTTAATTTAAATAACTAACATCTATAGTGTTTTTTTCTCATTTAATATTTTAATGAACATTTTAAAGCAAGCCAGAAGAAAATGGATGTGGAAATGTTGTTCATAATGTAATTCATATTAGCAATATTACATTCATATATAATATTTTTCGTTTTTTAAACAATAAATTTAATTTTATTTGGTTAATTGTACAGAGTGATACGTGAACCAATAGACAGGATGTATTTTGCTGGTACAGAAACTGCAATAGAATGGTCTGGTTACATGGAAGGTGCCATTGAAGCTGGGGAGAGATCTGCCCGAGAAATACTTTATGCGATGGGAAAGATAACGCAAGATAAGGTATTTCAAAGAGAACCTGAATCATCAGTAAGTTATTCATAAGTATATATTCATAAGTATTCACAAGCATATATTCATAACTATTCACAAGCATATATTCATAAGTATATATTCATAAGTATATATTCATAAGTATATATTCATAAGTATATATATATAAGTATATATATCATAAGTATCTATATAACATTTTATAATTTCTATGCACCATACATCTAATGCTACACCTTTCGCGATTACAAGTTTATTGTTTGTAACTTTATAACTGATAATATTATTTGTAACTAATATTATTATTCGTAACTTTATACTAGGTAAAATTAAAAATACGCTTCTCCTTAAATGATTTTTGATTAAGTTACTGAATATTTTTATGCAAAATTTTGGTTCATGAATTGGCAATGGTTTTTATACAATTAATTTTTGATTTCAAAAACCTGTTTAAGTGGAGCTTATTATTTACGGCTAAAACTTTAAAAAAAATAAAAATTACTAATATGGAATACACAGTCAATGCAAGAGCGTTTTTTCTTCTAGAAAGTGCCAAAATTCGTTGTACTGTAAGGAAAAAAGGTCATATTAAAGAACTAATTGAATGGAATTTAATGGTTTAAAGAGTTAATCGCAAATATGCCAATTAGTAAATACTACCTGTAAATTAGGATAAGGAATAAAAAAATATAGAGCTATACTTCTCAACATAGATTTTTTTGACGAATTTGGTTTCTATATTATATTATTATTGGGCTAAATTTGAGGCTTACAATTTAAGGCCTAAAAATAACAAAAATTTCGAAAATTCGATAAAGAAAAAAATAAAGGAATAAAAAAATATAAATTCTGCTGGGTTTTGCTTAAAAAACCAGATATTTTGTTTTTGCCAAACGCAAATTTAAACTAATATACTAGTTCAACTAATGGAAAACATTTAAACTATGCTTCCAAAATAACTTCTATTTCCCACAACATATATAGCGCAGTTTGAAGACAAAATTAATATACACTCTTGCAAATATTTAATTTAGAATGGTGTAATGTGCAGCCGAAAATTTTGCCAAAATGTTTCTCTTCAGGAAATGAGGGAAATCTTGATAATTATAATTGCTCTATGAATGAGGTCGAGCTACAAAGTCTTTCTCATGATTCCATCCATGAAAGGGAGAAATCAAATCAAAAATGTTAAATAATGCATTACTTGAAGCCAAAAATAGATTAAGAGACTTAAAATAATGCTTATAAGAAAGAATATTAAAGTGTGAGAAAGAGCGTTCAGTTTAGAATAATAAAACAAATTATGTATATATATCAAGCTTATGAGAAATTTTAATCTGCTTTCGATTTTCAGGATGTTTTACCAAAACCATTTGAAGTTAGCTTTTTTGAGAAATATACGCCATCCGTGCCTACTTTTTTGAAGTTAATGACCTTAACTGTTTTTGGATTAGTAGCACTAACTATACTGAAATGTCCTAAATTTGTAAAAAAGTGATCTGTTTTCTTGCTTCAAACTAAGCTGAATGAGCTTATTTTGTTATTTATTAAGAACTACTTTGTTTCTAATTATAAATAAAAAATATTTTTACTCTTGTGCGTGTTTCTATCATTGCGATAAATTTAAAAATATTTTTATTGATCACTTTTTAAAATTACAGGAAAAATCATTTGGAATCTGCATCTGAATAATTTTTAAGAAGCACTTGATGGCAAATTTGCAATAAAAAGTAAATATGAAAGAGTTACATTTATGGTAGGTTTCCCAAAATTGTCCGGTATTTAAATAATGCATGAGAGTAAAACTGAAGGAGTAGAGTTTGTTAAGGTCCGCTTACAAAGTCAAAGGTTCTTTCTTTCTTTATGTTTTAAAATTAGTAAAAAAGTTTGTTTATATGTAGATAGTGTTGCCAATCAAGAAATAATTGCCAAATAAAGTTATAGAATAATGTTGTGCAACAACAGAATTGTGCTATGTGAAAGCAAAATTCATAGACGCACTGACAAATATTTCAGTTGGAATGGTCTGACACAGGGCTCGAAAAAACTCAAAACTTTTACCCGTCCCCGAGGACGGCTTGTCCAACAATGTACCCGTCATCCTTTGAAACTAACCCGTCGCTTCTAAATAAATAAAAATATAATTTTCTCTTATTTATTACAAACATTTATATAAATTGCACAATGAATTAGTAGTTACTGGGATTGAATTATACAGTAATAAAAGGAATACTAGGTTACTAATTGGAACCTAGTATTTCTTTTATAAAATAATTTATTTCTTTTATGAATTAATTTATTTCTTTTATGAAATAATTTATTTCTTTTATGAAATAATTTAAATGACCAATGTCAAATTATCTGGAATGTCAGTTTATCCGAGGGTTCTGCGTTTTTTAAATTAATCAAATATGACGTTTCCCAGTTCCACAATCAAGCTAATGATTTACAGAGGTTTCTGCATAAAAATCTGAAAAGGGTTTTCCATTTAGGTAGATGTTCATAATTGCGTTTAACGCTTCTTGTTTAAGACCAGCACGTAATTTTTTTTTCTTTTGTAAGTTTATTGCTGAGAAGTCCCTTTCAACCGCTGCAATACGGGAGACAGAGAAAACATCAATTTCACCATGAGCAGTATGGTGCTGTATTTCTAGATTAGAGGGTCATTTTAGAAGTGAGGTGCTAGACTCTTGTAAGATAACAAAAATTGAAAATGTATCGCAAACATTAACGGGAAAATGGCTGTCCGTGCGGACGTCGGATTCGAGAAATTCGTTGTCCGCGGGGAGTTTTTGACCGCTGAGAACGGGCAGACGGGTCGTTTTTCGAGCCCTGGTCTGACATGCATTATTTTAGAGTGTTTTAGTCAGCAGCGCCATCTTTTAACATTCTTGGTAACTAATTTTGAATATTTGTGAGTACAAATGGAAGATTTTTATGTAGTACGCAGCAAACTGAATGCTTCCATCGTGTCCCCTTTTTATAATTTTTTTTCCTAAACTGTTGAAAATTTTTCGGACATTCACTAGTAAGCAGTACCATTATGAAGATGTTAAAGTAAAAAAAAAATCAATAGCGTCTTAAGTCCTATTTAGACAATCCAAGTTCTTGAACGAAGATTGATTGATATCACTGGAAATTGTTTTGCTTTGAGCTTGGATTGCGTAAACAATCATTAAAGTTGGTCCAAAGCCTTGGACGATAGTAGAGAATGTTCTACTTTCCATCCAAGTTTTTCCTCCCTTAACCAATCAGCGTCTTAGGTTTTGTGACGTCAACAAACAGGCATCAGACTACGTCCTTTTGTGGTCTGTTTTCATGTATTTTAGTCCAAATAAACTGATCTGCTACGGTCTATTTGTGTTATTATGATTTTATTTTAATTTATTTAGTAATTTTGAACTCATGTAAGTATGGTTTTATAATGTTGAATATGAACAATGCGCATGCGCAAGTTTTTCTTCCCACCAATCAGTGACATTCAAGAACTTGGATAGTGCCGACGAATCATCCAATTTCTTGGACAGAAAAATTCCTCCAATTTCTCGGATTCAAGAACTTGAGGCCTTTAGACACAAAAATACACTTTTTATTTATTTTTAATAATTTCACAGAGAAAAAAAGTTTGGTCAAAACCAATAGAATCCCGTAAAATTACAGTATTTCTGGCTCTATAGGAGCAAGAAAAAAATCGGTAATTTTTTACCAATCTGGTAATGAACAATTCAAAACTTTTTTGATAAAGAACAGAAACTTTTCTATAACTTGGAGACCCACCCACCATTCGCTTAGCTCTCTCATTGGAATCTTCTGTATTTTAGTCTAGTTTTGTAGGCGGCCAAGCTTTTTGAATCAAGTTCAGAAAATATGCAGCACAGTTCCATAAAACCTTTTATTAAATTTTTTTTATTCAGTTTATATACACTATGATTCGATTCACGCGCATTCATATGGTACGTAGAAAGTACATTAGAAACAAATAATTCATAGAATTCCCTTGCGTACGCATCTATACATTTCAATGTTTAGAGACGGTTTAAAGGAAGAAAAATATTATGTTAAAATTATCATACTATACGGTAACGATGATTCTAGAAAAAAAAAACTTAATTCTAGTTAGCTGAGCCAAATTATACGGTATATAAATCATTCATTTGAGAATTCTTTTGTTCATATAATAACAACTTAACAGAAATTCTGGCTTTCAAAATTATAGTTCATATTTCCACATATTTAGTAAAAAAAAATTAAACCACGAAAGGGAATTTAGCCGAATAAATGTGTTTTACACCATGTTCCAAGGTAGTATGATGAAATTACTAAATTTAACCATATCTACCAAATTTCATCTCATATTGTAAGACCAAATTTTACAGTTAATGTTACTAAAATCATCAACAAAGCGCTTTGGTAATAAAAGAGACAGTGAGAGACAGAAGCATGGTAAATTTTACATTATTCTGGTAATTTTGACCATACCTTTTTCGGTATAAGTCTTTTATTATTCAAGTTATCGATAAATTCGTAAAATGTATAAAGATTCAAAAAAAAAAATATCAGGAGTATCTTAATAAATAAAACGCCTCTTATTCTTGCTTTAATAATGGAGCATCATTAAAACTAAAATATAGCTCTAAATTATTATTTCATCTTCCTAACAACGTAAGTAAAACAAAAATGTAGAGCAATTCGTTTATATGAACTGTTCACCTTTGATCTTTCATTTCTTTACAAATTATAGCTTAATATGTTTAATTTTATCGTTTCCCACCCGAGAAAGTATGTTTTATACGAAAATTCGTAAATATGTGTACTTATGCGATCAAGCGAAAGACTGCAAATTGGATTTTAATTTTAATTAATTTTATCTGATTAATTTTTAATTTTTAATTAAATTCTTAATTTTTTTTATCTGATTTTTAACAATATACACGAGCATTAGTGTTTTATAAGATACAGATACTTGAAAAATTCTAGTTAAGCAAGGAGAAAAATATAAAGCTCATTTTTTTTAAACTGTGTTTTTTTCTGTCTTC